TGTGTGTGTGTGTGTGTGTGTGTGTGTGTGTGTGTGTGTGTGTGTGTTGTCCACAGGGACCCCTCAGGAACACCTGTGGCCACTTTTGGCTCATGATCTGGGAGCAGAAGACCAAGGCGATCGTCATGCTCAACAGGGTCATCGAGAAAGACTCGGTAAGTACACGGTAATAAAACGGCATCATACCCAAACATGTCAACCCATGTTTGGGTTGACATTTGTCTGGTTTCGTACACACCCACACACACAGACTGCCGAAATAATGAATAGACCACAGAAAGACTAGTCACGCATCGACCACTTTATCCACACGTGCATACTTTGTTGAAGTTTGCAGCCCGCTCACAGTGTGAAATCATTTGTACATCTTGTTTGATTAAATGGTCGACTGTGAAGGTTCCCTCTCGGGTCAGCAGGATAACAGGAATTCACTGTGTTCATAGTGTGTTCACAGATGTACGTGAGGAACGAGCCCAACCTCTCAACTCCTTTTAAATCCTCTGATCCTGTGATGTGCTGATTAAACATGCACACACACACACACACACACACGAGCGCTAACACTCCCTCAGCAGAGCAGCTGTGATCTCTCTCTTTCTCAGTAAAGCAGCTGGATTGGATCTCGCCGGGTCATGAGATTCTCTCGCTGAGTGTTTTCTTGGAAATGGAAGATAAAAAAAAGTACCTCGTCCACGAATATGATGAACCTCACAAGGATCCTTTTATGTAGGCCGGCTCTCCAATCCTGCAGCGGGACGGTTAGATGATGGACGTATCCTGAACAGCTCTGGCTATTGTCTATTTACTAAGAACATACTGCATGGTGAAGTGTTTGTTGTAGATATAGCTCAAGCATTTATCACAGTATTTGACCGCAGTACTGACAGAAGACTTGCTGCTCCCTGAATAATATTAAGTATTTTACAAAATCAGGAATTGTTTTTGAGTTGAGTCAAACTTCTCATCTTAACTTTATGTGAGCAAGATTTCATTGTTTCCACTCCTGGTTTATAATATCAACAACAATCATCATTTTTTATATATTTCAAGAAATGAAGCTCAAAGTGCTTTACAACAAAAAACTGGTTCAAATACTTATAAAAAGAGGAGGGAAGTAAAAATAATACAAGTTTAAAAAAAGTATATTATGCGTATTTTAGGATTTATTTTCTTGCATTACTACATTTGACATATGTAGTAATGCAGTTATGTTACAGTTTGGCGTAAGAACTGTAATCGCAAAAATATCTAAATAATACATGAAAAAACTGAAAACAAAATATATGCAAAACATAGAATCCTGACTCATTTTATTTTTATATTATTATTATTATTGCAATGTGACAAAACACAAAAAAAATGACCTAAATTAGACCGACAGATGTGCAACAAAACAGATAACGGCTGTAGCACAATAGCTGTGAATGAACTCGGTGTCACAAAGCAGAGGTTGGATTCGGTATAGATGTGTAGTTGTTTATGTTAATAGAAAAGCAACATATTGAAGTTGTGAAAGTGTGTTATTGTGTAAGTGTGACGTGAACTGTTTGTGTGAGTGTAACGTGTGCAGGTTTGTGGGGAAGAGAGAAGACAAAGAGGATGTTTATCCGAAGCATTGTTTGATTTATTATCCAGCTTTTCGTCTCAGTGGAGAGGATCAAACTGTCCTCCTGTCAGTCGTCAGCTGCTTTACCTCAAGACCAGCATCTGCTTTTAATCCGGTGTATTTTGGTCTTTCTCACCACGTTTCTCTTCTTTCTCCTCGTGTGCGACAGGAAAAGTGTGCTCAGTACTGGCCCACAGCTGAGGAGAGGGAGACGGCCTTCAGAGACACCCGTCTGTTGGTCACGCTGCTGTCAGAAGACACCAAGTCTTACTACACCACCAGAGTGTTGGAGCTGCAGAACATTAGCGTAGGTTTTCATTTACTACCGGGGACTTTCCCTTTTAAAGGTGTCGGCGAAGAACTGTTCAAGATTATCACACCAACACGTGTTTTCTGAGGCTTCTGAGAACTGAAATCAGCCTCGTTTAGCGCAAAGTTTTAACCGACAGATTAAACAGAGTTTTATATTTCCACACATCCAAAGTATTTTCAGTGTATGTGAGCTGTAGATTTCACTGTCAAATACACAGTATATGCTTTAACTACAATGTTTCTCTTGTAATGTTATGATTTTCTCTAATCCATCTTTCTTATTAACTTTCAAGGTGGTTTTAAGAAAAGCATGAGAAAACAGGTTTTCAGAACCTGCTTTTCTTGCATGAATTGAAACTGAAACCGTTGGAAGTGTTTACTTAGTTCAGCTCTCAAACACTGGAATAACCTCAGGTCACCTCAAACACAACTAATAAAAATAAAAATAAAAAAGCACTGACAAGCTGCAGATACATGAAAGCTTCGTACCTGCTAATGAGACCTCTGTGTGCTCTCACAGACCGGGGAAAAGAGAGAGATCTTCCACTTTCATTACACCACATGGCCAGATTTCGGTGTCCCAGAGTCCCCAGCATCCTTCCTTAACTTCCTCTTCAAAGTGCGCGAGTCGGGAGCGTTGGGGGTGCACCACGGGCCCGCCGTGGTGCACTGTAGCGCTGGAATCGGACGTTCGGGGACGTTTTCATTGGTCGACACGTGTGTGGTCCTGGTGAGTCCTTTTGTTCGTATCAGTGTTTACATATTCTGACTCGGGAGAAAGATTCGCTTTTTGTTCTTTTCTGCAGTGACTTGATTTGTCATTTGGGTGGGTGTGTGTGTGTGTGGGTGTGGGTGTGTTAGTGCCAACACAGACCAGGGAGCACGTGACCTTTTATTTTAACGTTATCATCCTGGTTAGCTGAGCTAATGTACAATTCATTCCCGTCCAGATGGAGAAGAGGAAAGACCCGTCATCAGTGGACATCAAAAGCATCCTGTTGGACATGAGGAAGTACCGCATGGGTCTGATCCAGACCCCGGACCAGCTGCGCTTCTCCTTCATGGCTGTCCTCGAAGGATCCAAGCACATCACGGGAGACTCCTCCGTACAGGTAGCTGCACCACACACACACACACACACACACACACACACACTCTAATGTATCTAATTCTGTCACTCTGTACACTAAGGACTCGTTCCTCTCCGTGGTGTCTCTTGTTTGGTTGTAAATCCAGAGATATGTATATAAGATAAGGATCAAACACAGACTGTACTAAGTCTGTTTGTGAGTTTATCCAGGCTTCTGATCAATTCACACTCAATTAAGAGGAAAATCTAAATATGTTCTAGTCTAATTGATGCAGTCAGAGAGGTTAGAAGCTGACATGACTGACATTAAGGTTTATTTTACGCCCACGCTGGAAAACCATTGGCCGAGAAATGTGAATGTTTTTTCTAATTTAACTTACCTCCATTATGTGTTTCACCCATTTGTCTCTATAAAGAGCAGTAATTCCCCATCATGTTATGAGTTCCTTACCGTTTACCATTGTTCTTGCCAGTGGGGCTGAAACTCTGAGACTGAAACAGTTTCTTTCTGTTTTTATTTGTCTCTGCCTCTCTTTACCTTTGGCACTCATAGCAGAGTGGTTTATCTTAGCTTATTTACTTTTGTGAAGGATGTCAGAAGTACCGAACTATAGTAGAACACACAAGGACACACATGTGCTAATATGCCTTCCTCTTCTCTCTGTATTCCCTGTTCTTCTCGCTCGTGTAGAACCGGTGGCGGGAGTTGTCCAGAGAAGATCAGGAGCCGGCAGCAGAGTCCCCCCCCTCCACTCAGCCCCCAGCCAGGTGTGCAACAGAGCGACACAACGGCAGCCAGCGGGGAGGTCAGCTGGAGGAGGGAGGCGACTACAGACAGGACAGCAAAGTACCAGCACAGTCTCCTTGCAAGGAGCAGGAGCAGGAAGGCGGCACGACACAGTCAGTACACCAAGTCTGTAACCGGCCGATAGATGCTCTGAATAGCTGAGAGCTGTTTACCTATTGTTTCTCTCCCTTTTTTTTTACACAGCAAACGACGCAGAGAAGACAGCATTTCCAAATCGGGCACAGCCAAGACACCCCAAAGCAAGCCCAGGGCGAACGACTCGGAGAAGAAGAGGAAAAGGTGATTATATCTTTCGGACGGAACCACTTAATTTTTCACACACACAGCATCAAGTTGTTGTTGCCTTCCACGGTGATTCATCAAACACCGCCACAAAAGCCACTTTTGTATTCATTTACATCCTGTAATTTGTATTACTAAACACTGACCGACCATATCTAATCCACCGCAAGTGTTAAGAAAGAGAGCTACTGTTGGTTCCATAACGGGAGACGTAGAAAATCGGCAGTGTGACATGATTTAGCATGCTTCCTAGTTTCCTAGTTCCCTTTAGGCCGAAAAGAAACGCAGCAGTTTCTACTCAACAGCTCCTGTAATGTAAAAGAAATGAGTCACTTTTCAGCTTCATTTCTTTTGAGGAAATCCAGGTAGGCTTCCCCAGTGCATGACTCATCCTCCTGTTGGCACCAGTTAGACTTCATACAGAGTTCAGCCCCCCCTTCCAACATTTTCAGTAATTTAGTGTGAAGCCACCTGTGTAGCTAGCTGACATCGACTTCACCTTCTCATCAAGGCAGGACGCGTTTGCCCCGACGAAGCACTTTATTTCTGATGACTGTGCACCCGGCAGAAAATGGCTCACCAAGTCATTTCCCAGCAGCCCTCCTTTTGTTGTGTGACATGTCGGTTGTTGTTCCAGTCATTTCGGCCCAAACTGCACCATTTTCTGACGAGGTCTCATCAACTCTTCTTCTCGGACAGTTTGGGCTGCATTTGCTGCACATGACAAGAGCTGGCCTGTCCAGCGGGGGGCCGCAGCGTATCTTTACCCTCCCCCCTCCCCCCCCTCTGTGACAGCAACAACCTCGAAGAGCTCATTTACAGGACGAGGTTTACCCGCAGCTTTTAAAACGAACGCCCCAAGTCTTGTACAAGGAGGTGTGAGTGCACTGCTGGAGTCTGCTGTGTTTTTGTTTCTGTTGAGGTTTTTGCTCTTTTCTTTCATGATTTGCTTGGTTCCTGCGGTTTGGAGTTCATTTTGGCTGCATTCTAGCATGGTGTGTGTGTGTGTGTGTGTGCGTGTGTGTGCGTGTGTGTGTGTGTGTGTGCATTTGTGGTTAAAGTGTTGAAGCTCTGAAATGTCAGGTTGGGTTGGAATAATGCAAGGCGCTAAGTTATGCTGTGCACCAAAGATTCAAATTTTTCGTGGCCTCTTTTTATGCGTCTGTTCAGTCCTGTGAACCACTAAAGTTTTCTCTTCACTAAACGATTGCTTTGCACATGAAAGTGCTGCTAGTTTGTGATGACAAGTGTGTTTTTTTTAGGACAGAGAATGTAGAATCGTTGAATCAAAAGAAGTAATTAAGTAATACAGCAAGGAAGAGTAACTTCTGGTGAGTTTGTTGCATGTTCCTGTGTTGTTTCACGAGGTTGTTAACGTTTCTTCGGTCACCGTAGCATGTCCGTTCAACTAATTGGTTTGTTGGTGTTAAACTGCATCAGTTGAGTTCCGGCCTTGTTGAAGTTTGAATGGAAGTTTGGAGGTTTCGAGATTCATCAGGAGAGTTATGGTGAGATCTAGGAGGACCTTTTGTTGATTAAATAGGCTGGAGGACTGTCGATTCTGTAGTCTTTTGCTGTTTTGTGTTGTCCAAAACTCCCAAAAATAATCCTTTAATTACCGCGTAAAAAACAAAACAGGAATGTTTGGTGTCTTTTGCTTTGAAAATGACTGCGAGAACAATTTGATTATTGAAAATAGTAGTCGATTAATTAACCGTCAATCAACCTATGGTGTCACTGCTATAGATATTTATCCTGTAAAAATGGTTCTGTTGACAAGTTACCTTTAATTTATGCTGACCAATCAGCGTCCTGTGAGGAGCTACTGGCAGCTAGGGGCGTGGCTTAGGTGTGTCAAAATAACTATGGCGGCATCCGTTTTACAATAACTGTGTTTAAGTATTTCTTCATTAAAAGAAGAGCAGAGAACCGTACTGAAGGCTTTTCTCGATGGAAAAGATGTTTTGGCTTTTCTTCCGACTGGCTTCGGCAAGAGTTTGATTGACAGATGGTTCATCCAATCACCTGCCAAGTATTCTTTCGAGAGTGCCCGCCCTTTTCTAAACACTTTCCAATGATGGCTTCTGTGTAACTAACCAGGTTACAGCTTAAAACGTCTTTTTTGTCCGACCAACAAAGATATTCAATATACAGGATCCAATTGAGAAAAATAGAAAATGAACCAGAGAATATTTGGCATTTTTTTGGCATTAATCAACTTATTGACTCATTGTTTCAGCGCTACTCTCATCTTCAAACCCCTCCTACATCACACTGGGATGAGTCTTAGTTCCACTCCCACATGTAACCACGTGTTCTAACGCTCTGAAATAACTAAATGGACGTGTAAATGTTGCAGCTGAGAGCATCTGAACACCGTGTGATGCGTTGCTCACTAAACATTATTGCTGCTTTCAGCTGCATCTATACTCAATCTACTGTTGGTGTGATCAAAGTGATCCGAGGCATCGTGCCACAGCTGAGCAAAACTACCTTTTTAGATTTTCTTCTGTGGTTGAGTTTGATCTCGTAAACTTGACCAAGCTGACCTGATTGTGTGGCACGACTTTCCTTTGATCACTTTTGAGCTTCACCGACACTCTGGTAGAATATCGTGTCTCGAGTTCAACCTCTTTTAAATACTTTGTGTCTTGTGACAGCGCGAAAACCAGCGACTGCTAACTATCACCGCCTGCGGCCATGCAGCTACAGCTCTGGCAGCGAAGCCAACAACCGGCAGGGATCTCCAGCTCTCTCACAACCTCTGTGTCCTTCTTCCTCGACTCCTAACCACTCTTCCTCACCTCCACCTCAACAGCCAGCTCTCGTCACTATCGCTTTTATTTTATTTTATTTTTTAATGTCCCAGCCCTGAAACATTATTCAGCCACCGCTCATCTCCCTCTTCCCGTTAGCCGCTCGTCACTCCTCAGTCCCTTCACCTCACAGCCTTCCCTCGTCTCCTCATCCTCTCTAAACTGTTTACAGCCGACACTTTGACATTCTTCGAAGACAGCACATTTGAAAAGACAAAACACACCAGCGCTTTCTCCCCCCAATTACACCTCAAACGCAGCCTGCGCTGCTTCTGGAGTCAGAAAAATGTTGTTTTTTGCTTTAATGTTATTTGCAGCTTTTACATTCTATTATGGGTCTTTTGCATTTATGAAAATCGGACCGATACTAGGGGCTAAAGCATCGACGATTTGTAATGCTGTTCATATGTGTATTTTTCTTTTTTTTTTCCAGAGGCAAAAATAAATGTTCTATTTTTTTATAAGAGATTACTTGAAGTTTTTCAGCAGTGATGGGGGGGGGGGGTTGGGTAAATGAAAAGCACTGCCTCCTCCCACGTGAGAAATTCAGTGGCATGTAATGTTTCCATGATGTACATAGTGTTGTTTTTAAAAAGGTGTGTAAAAAGACATATTTTTGCTTGTAAAAACAAAAAGACGAACGACAATGTTACAGATTTGAATACAGTAGAAACCTGATTTGATGACTTGTTCTCCTTTTGAACTGAAACTGTCTTAATTTTCCCTTTTCTCTTAGAGTGTAATTTCCAAATAAAACTGGTATTATCTAGTTTACATAACAACCTGTCTTTGCTCTTTTTCTGGTTACTGGTCGCCACAAACCTGTTAGTACATCTGTCATAAGCAGCACTTTTATTACACACAAAGGATGTAACTTTATGCAATAATTTGATATTTTGACAAGATTGGGCCTCAACGCTGGTTATTTACAGTTATCCGAGTTAAGGAGCGTTAGCGGAATCTGACGTGTCTCACGTGTACGAGAAGTTAAAATAATACCCAAAATTTCTATGAGGCCTATTGATACTAATATGTCTATTAGTTTATCATACAGACTGGAAACAAAATCCATACAGGGATGTAGAAGTTGAGGTCTAGAAATGACTGCTTTCTTAGCTAAGACAGTTCAGGACACATCTATAAAACTTATTTTGACAAAATGTTTTTATTTTAAGGATTTACCAAACGAGATGCGTGTACATTCTGAGCTGTAGATGAAGGTAGATTTTGTTACCCTGGAACAGAGCCAGGCTAGCTGTTTTCACATTTCCAGTCTTTATGCTAAGCTAAGCTGACAGTCGTCTGGTTATAACGCTAATGTTAGCATAGCAATTCAAACGGCATGAATTATGAGGCGCGTTAACTTTGACTTTTCCATTTGTAACAGAAAAGTGATGTTAAATTTAGATTAATTAGTAAATGTTATATTTCTGATTTGACGGTGGGATTTTGTTGGAGTGGCAATGATATCTTTTAATTATGGCACAAATATTAAAGTGGTATCAATCTTTATTTAACGTGAATTTCACTAAATTGCACACTATCTAAAAAAATGCTCTTAGGGTTGACAGAGTGTAAAGATCCCCAAAACTATTTTTAAGAAACTATTTTTTCCTGCGCGATTAATATCACATTCAGGGCCAGCAGTACTTTTCTAAATATAGACTTTTTCAGAGTCAAACATTCATCTTATGGTTACCTCTTTTAAAAACGCTGTCTGGACATTCTTCCCCCACAAGCAGTCCTTCACACAATCCACTCAAAACAATGATACAGACAGAGAGGAAAACCACAGCTTTTACAAATTATGAATCAGTAGTGTGTGTTTTTTTTCCACCGTGTAACTTGTTGTAACATGTTGGCAGGAAAAGAATCAAATTACAGAGGCGGTACTACCAGGAAGACGCTGTGGCACCCGGCCAACCACTTTCGGTTAAGCGGGCTGAGGCCGAGGTTCAGTGATAAATCCACACTGGATTCTTGTCACAATCTTTTATTGGAAAAAAATAATAAATCTGTCAAACGCTGCAATACTTGGATATAGTATGAAATTCCTGCACTTGACAATGTTTGTACACACAATAGATCATTACCAGAATAAAGAAGACTGGGATAAATGTTGGAGAGCAGGAGGGTTTTAGGTCCAAACCAGGTGAACTCAGTGTGTGTTTTTATCTATCTATCTCTCTATATCTCTCTCTCTCTCTCTCATATTCCTAAAAGCTAATTATGAGCTAGAACAACCAGAACTAAATATGTAGGTATCAGAACAGTGCTGGAGGAATGCCATTGCCAAAAAGAAGACTCCAGGAAGTTGGGATCTTCCATTTGTTGGGCTTTTGGCTCTGAATTGAGAATGAGGCAAAACAATAATTAGGAAGTTATAATCTTAGCAGTAGTTAATCTGAGTCTTAGTACACCGACTATGGATGAACATACACTCCAAAAACTCTGAACTATCCCATTAAATTCACAAAATATAGTATATTAACAGTTCTGAATCAAACTAATAATTTCCACTATGATTAAATACTTTTCAGTCTCTGCAAGTGTATTTTCTTACCGCACTGAAAAGTATCGGAGTCAAATGTCTGTTATCTGACTAAGTGTGACTTACAGGATTGTCCAGCAGATGAAGCCAGTCGTTGAGGTGGTTGAGGAGCGTGAAGGCGTCTGGGATGTTGTCGCCTTCTGAACAGAAGAGCAGCAGCACAGCCAGCGGGAGGTCCTCTGCACAGCTGAAAACACAATGTCCAGAAAACAATTTATCATAGTCGAGAAAGTGTGTTTTGATATTTTCATACTAAAAAGATATTCCGCAGGTTTTCCAGCCACATTTAAGTAGAAACACACAATACTATGTAACATGACATAAAAGGCCATTTTACTTTTTAAAGTGTAATTATTTAAATTATGGTGATGCTTTAGAAGCATTAGCTTTTGGGATTCAGCATGTTTTTTCAGTGCAGTATGAGCAACTTCTCATAATTTAAAAAGGAAGGGTTGGTAGTGCTCTTCAAAAAACATTTCGATATTTTTATTGTCATTACATCCTGACAGCAATCAATGAATCAATCGTCTTTCGGTTGGATCATTTAAAAAAATCCAGCGTACTCTTGCTAGTTCCTCAAGATTACCGACCCTAGCCTGAAGAGAAAGAATGAAGACGTGGTTAAGTCATCACATGGTTACACATCACAAGCTTCTTTCTACACACAGCTGGTTATTATGACTGCATCTAATAAGTATTGAATGCTACATGCATAACCAGCTCAACGTGTTGCTGTAATTGGTGAATTATACAGAACCATGACTCATGTCTCGTAGACAGAGAGCAGTTACAACCACATCGTTACTTCTTAAACTTAAGCACATAAATTAAAAAAAATCGCTACCTGTCCACGTAGAGTCCTTTGGTTATGCCTCCTCCGGGGACGTAGAGGCGCGGGTCTGTGTCGGCGTCCGTCAGTCCTGGGAGGGCCGCCACCCGCTCCATCTCCCTCCAGCCGAGCTCCTCCAGCGCAACCGCACTCACCTTCAGCAGGGCCGGAGTGACCAGGTACCTCAAAGGAGTGCTGACATCGACACGTATTCGTTAGTAGAGATTGTAAACGAGCTCAGGCAAAGACATGCGGTGATGGTGTGCGAGTGCGTGGTTAGGTACCCCTTCAGCTGTTGGTCGTCCCTCTGGTAGGCGTGGCTGCTGGACAGAACCACAGTCCTGGAGAACCCGCTGGCTTTGATCCAAGACACGAGCAGCTGACGGAACTTTTTGGATTTTGTCTGCAATTACAAACAAAAAGGTTAGAGCTACAAATACAATAATGCCAAACGTCATTCTAGGTCCACGGAACCACAAACTACATCAGCGTGGAAGATACAAGTTGTAGTTAATGATCTCTTCAAACATCTCAAGTAAAAAAAAACTGGACCATAACAATAAATGAAGCATCAACTCATGCTGCGGTTTTACCTGAATAATTGGCGCCCTGATTTGAAGAACTGCCATCTTCAGTTCTGCTGCTGTGTAAACTGATGAAGAGAAAAGGTTGACAGATTTAATGAGCCTTCTCAGTTTATTCAAAGTGTGCCGACACCAACTGAGACCATGTTTTTGGTCCATTCGGTAAAGAATGGATTTATTAATGGAATGTATTTGTGATATTAGTCCTCGAAAACCAAGGACTTGGAGAACAGCTTCACTACTGCGAGTATAAACTCACAATAATAAACAAAGTTAAAGATAAGTTTGACTGATGGCATTGTTATGGTTTTAAATTCTCCATCTACTTCACAGGTGCTCATTTCGACGGTACCTTCTGCAGGTGTGTGCAGCTGCTCAGCGTCGTCTTTACAGATGGTGTACGGGTTGTTTCCAGTCATGGGGATGAGACAGTCTGTGTGTATGTAGCCCACTCTGCTCATGTTGAGAGTGGACACAATGAGGTCCACAGCCAGCTGGCCCACGTTACCAACAGCCACAGCTGGCTGGGGGGCAATAAACAACAATAAAGAGCAGTTAGCAGCTATTTTGATAACGTATTATTTTTTTAAAGTCTTTTTTTCCAGCTGCTCATGTGAGGATTTGCTGCTTTTCCTCATCTTAAATGGCAGTTAACTAAATTCTTTATATGTTTGGGCATTTGTTGCTGTTTAATGACTTTATACAAACCAAACAATTCCTCTAATAACTGAGAAAATAATCAGCAAATTCATTCATAATGTAAATAACTAATCTCAGCACTATTTAAAAATAAATAAAGGGTAATACATAAATGTAAATACATGAGTGTTAATAATATGACATGTAATAGTATAAGTTGCCATTTACCTGTCATTGAGTACCTTCACTTTTAAAATGCAGGACTTTTATTTGTAATTGAATATTTTAACAGTGTGGTATTGGTACTTTTTCTGAAGTACAGGACTTGAAGACTTCCTGCACCAATGCAAACATGTGATACTGGGTTATATATCTAAATAAAAAGCTAGTTTGGTAATGTTTAAAGAAAGATATTTGTTGTAAAAGTCTGTTGAAATTCTCTTTCCATTCCGACAGCAATAAATCTCATGTGTTGACCAAAAAAAAGGAAGAAAATAATCTAGTATCTGCCTGTCTGCGCGCACTCCGCCCAACACTCATTGCGCTTGCCGTAGTTGGTCCTCTGCAGCAGTTAGTTTTGACAGCCATGTTAGCCGTTTACCTTCATTATGATACGTTATCGTTCATCATAATAACTTTGTTAGAGTGGCTTTGGAAGGAGGCTTAAAGAGACGGGGTTCTATGGGTGCCGATTTGGCGACTTTCTGGCAAGATTTAGCGACTTTTTGGAGCTAGTGGTGCCAACTACTCTCATTGGAAAAGCGGCTGCAACACTGAACTCTTGCTAATCTGTCAATTTAACCAACCGTAGCTTTAAACAATGCAAGTCTTAAGAAACTAGCACCGTTAGTAATAACACAGATAATACAAGGCAGCAATGTCTAACGTGACGAACACACGTCTGTCTCTTGTGAAAGTGAAAGCACAGACTGATGAGTCACTCACCAGGACGAGGGTGAAGTCTTTGAAGGAGGGCGGTGGGTTTTGTGAAGAGATAAACATGACGCTGTTTAGCAGAAACAAACGGGTACCGAGCAAGAGACTTAAGTGTAATTATATCTATCTAAACGTATTTTCGCCCGGCTTCTGTTTTCATGCCTGTGGGGTCCTTCTGGTCTCGCACTCTTTGTCGATTGTTGATGATTAAGCGGCTGTGGTATCTGCTGTGAATGCCTGAATGGACTCTTCTATGAATTTATTTCTGAGAAAATATTTTGTAACGGTCTGTACCGGATGTCACAATCGGTGCTTAACGGTCTCTATCTCTGCTTTAGTGTCTATGTATACTTAAAATAGAGTTTTAGGAGTTTCTATTATAATCAGGCATATTAAGAGTCAAACTGCAGCTCCGCAAAGATTTCCTGTGCAGTAAAGATGTGGAACCCATCCCTTTGAATCTTAAACACAATACAAGTTACAATACTACTAACTACTACTATTAAAATAATATTATAAAAATAATAGAATAAAAATAATAATAATAATAATACATTTTATTTATATAGCGCTTTTCATAAAACTCAAAGACACCTTACATTAAAATCATCATATATAAAAGCAATACACTAAAAACATAAAATACATAATAGTGGTCACACATTAAAAGCAGTTTTGAACAGGTGGGTTTTGATTTGAGATTTGAATGTGCAAAGGTCAGTGCAGTCTCGGATGTGTTTGGGGAGAGAGTTCCAGAGGGAGGGGGTCAGATATTGAGAAGGCTCTGTCACCCCATGTCCGGTGCTTGGTCCTGAGTGGAAGAGACAGGAGGTTGGCATCAGAGGAGCGGAGCCGACGGGATGGAGTGTGGTGGTGAAGCAGGTCGGTGAGGTAGGAGGGGGCCTGATTGTGGAGGGCTTTATGAGTGAGGAGAAGGATTTTGTATTGGATCCGTTGTGGGATGGGGAGCCAGTGGAGGTTCTGGAGAACAGGGGTGATGTGGTCACGGGAGCGGGTGTGGGTGAGCAGGCGAGCAGCAGAGTTTTGGATGTACTGGAGTTTATTTAGGATTTTGGATGATGTACCGTGGAGAATGCTGTTGCAGTAGTCAATTCTTGAGGTGATGAAGGCGTGGATCAGAGTTTCAGCAGCAGATGAGGAGAGTGATGGGCGGAGACGGGCTATGTTTTTTAAGTGGAAAAAGGCAGTTCTGGTGATTTGTTTGACGTGGTGTTCAAAGGAGAGGTTGCTGTCGAACATGACTCCAAGGTTGCGGATGTGTGGGGAGGGAGACAGAGTGGAGTTGTCGATGGTGAGGCAGAAGTTGTGACTGGTTTTGGTGAGGGATGTGGGACCGATGATGATCATGTCAGATTTATCACAGTTCAGTTTGAGGAAGTTGGTTTGCATCCATGATTTAATGTCAGTGAGGCAGTTGGTGAGAGTGGAGTGAGTAGCAATGGTAATGGCCTTTGTGGAGATGTAGAGCTGGACATCATCGGCGTAGCAGTGAAAATGAAGACCATGTTGATGGATGATGTTACCAAGAGGGAGCAAGTATAGGATGAACAGAAGAGGACCAAGCACCGAACCCTGGGGGACGCCTTGAGACAGAGGAGCAGTGGTGGAGGTGCAGTTGTTGATACTGATGAACTGTTGTCTGTTTGTGAGATATGATTTAATCCAGGAGAGAGCAGTTCCGGTGATGTTGAGGGAGGATTCGAGGCGGGAGAGAAGGATGTTGTGGTTGATGGTGTCAAATGCTGCAGTGAGGTCGAGGAGGATGAGAATGTTGAGGTGACCAGCGTCGGAGGAGAGGAGGAGGTCGTTGGTGACTTTGAGGAGGGCTGTTTCAGTGCTGTGCTGTGAACGGAAACCGGATTGAAATGGCTCGAACAGATCGCTGAAAAAAAAAAAATACTTATGCAACGCTGCATTCAATTTAGCCAAAACGTATACGTACAGATAAAGTAATAGAATCTCTAGCATACAGTTTGAATTGAAGGTAATCATAAAATCCAAAATATGAATGAAAAGTAAAACAATTATGTAATAATGCATGCTATAACAACAACATTTATTGCCTTGCAAATGATCAACAACAGATAATGACAATGGTGCAACATATCCATTCAGTGTGATTTTAATTGAGCAACGTGATATTAAATATTTGCAAATGTATACATTAGGTAGTTAATAGTAACATAAATAATGTTTATCACAGTAATTATGGCAGATTGTTAGACAGACAAAACAAACAAGTAAAAACTTCATCTGTACTTCTTCTTGCATTAGGAAAACACTTCCATCTACAGACAGTTGTGGTACCATCAGTGAAGTCATTTTGGTTTGACTTCATTGGGAATGGATTGTCCATTCAGTACAGCCAAAGCATTGTCTGCCATCTTCTGCACCATCTTTCTTGTTGTAGCGTAAGTGTTGGTGCCAACGTGGGGGGTGATTAGCACATTAGGAAGGCCAAGGAGAGGATGATCCCTGCACAAGATAAAGAAGAGGAGTTGTTGGGAAAAGAGTTGGCAAATGTTAAATTCTGCTTCCTTTGACGTTTACTAGCTAGCTGCCTGCTACTGCTGGAAACATGGTGGATGAGAGTGTAGTTGCAGGCCAGATGAACAAAGATGGACAAAGTCATGGCAGAGCTGTACAGAGCTGCAGGGTGATACTTGTCTTTATGTCCATAACTACTAGTAACATCTTTCTGAAAGACTGTCTTGACACAACATTTGTATCTCATTTTAAATGTATGAATGATCAACTATGATATAAATGAACATATCTGTACTGTCCTTTTACACTGTATGTAAGATGCTGGGGTCCATGAAAATCTTGTGTACACACTGCCTTCCTCTGTGATCTATTGGTGTGACCAGGTTCATTGTTGTACAGTTTAAGCGAGACTATGTTCCTTTTGCTGGGAATTGACTCAGGCCTGATTATGTCAGTAATAACGAGTTCACCGATTATTATGTAAAGTAAGATTGTAGTAGTAAATTCCTTAGTGTTTTGAACTGAGCAAGAGGGTGTTTTATTACTCATGGGTACAAAATTAAATTCAAAAAGGAAGAGTGTTCTTTCAACAGTTACATAGTTTCACTTCAATGAATTGTGATTCTGGGTAAAGAGTGTGGTGAGACCTTGGTAATGGTTCAGGGTGAGTCACATCTAATGCCGCCGCACAAATTGTTCCAGACTGCAAAGCTTTGACTAAAGCATCCTGGTCCACCACCAGACCTGAGGCATGGAAAGTCAAAAAAATAGATTAAACGTCAGTGTTTCAGAACAGAATCTACACACACTCGAGAGCACAGGATTCAGATTACATCATTTCTAACACTTCAACATTGAACAAGTAATAGCATCCCATGCTTTTTTTTGTGTGTGTGTTATTTTATATCCACTACGCTTCTAAATATGACAGTGGTTTGAAGTTCACTTTTTTTTTCACGTTTGGAGTTCTAATAATACATTTCGGTCCTTATTGACCAAAATGAATGCATATAAAAATAAATAAATACCAACAAGGCGTTAAATTAAAGGGAAAACAAAAAAGTAAGCTTCAACTTATACCTACCCAATAACCCTTTCACTACAATTTCAAAATAAAGAAGTTCCACATGTTTCATGTCAAATAATTAAAAGAAATATGAAATGTGTTTACCAACTTACTTTTACATACTGGTATGAACTACACATTCCTTGTTTTAAATATACCTATTCCCCTAAATTCATACTGTCTCACTCTAATTTCAAACAACCTCTGAATACAGTTTAAAACATTTCTCTTCTGTAACATGAAAATTGGATTAGTGTTGGTTTTGTATGAGTTTGCCCATAATTCATATTCATATCTTAAGATTTATATATGTAATGTTTTTTAAACAAGTTCATACACTGTGTATTTCAGCATTATTTATTATACTTTTTACTAGATAATTGATCTAACGATTACCAAATATTAGATAATTTGGGCAATCTTGACTTAATTCTCTTGACTTTTCTCTTCAATTTCTGTGTGTGCAAACAGCCCTGCAGTGTGATGGCATTTCATGGGAATTAGTGGAACACTAGTGAATCTGGAATCTCTTTCTCTTAGGACCTCTCTCAAGAAGAACTTTAAGTACAAACTTTGGAAGGTATTGGTGAATGAGGCCCATGATTCTCACCTCTGCTGATGTTGACCAGAGTTGCTGTGGGTTTCATGAGGGACAGCTCTCTGTGGCTGATCAGGCCTGTGGTTTCTGGGGTCAGGTAGACCGCCAGCATGACAAAGTCAGACTCTTTCAGCAGGTCGTCCATGTTCTCCCGGTAACTCGCACCAACCGCTTGCTCATCTTCAACACTCCTGAACAGCACAGAGAAAAGATAAAGCTGACCGTTAACATTGTCTCGCTGATTTGTTGCTTTAAAATATCTGGAATAGTAGTGGGAGCTGAAGTTGGCAAAGCTTTTTTTGGTCCATAATTGGATTATGATCTATTATGTTATAATTTTCAAAAGTCATTCATCACTAACTATATTTTCTAGCTGTACAACAGGTATAGTTTCAGGAATTATTCCTGTATTTGATGTGAATTAGTCTGAAAATGTAACGCATCGACTAAAATCTCACTAAGGAATTTCAAAATGAACCAAATCAACCATTATGTCATCAAACTTTTACCTCCTGTTCCTGTTGTGATACAGGATCTTCATGTCAAATCCTTTGCCTCTTTGAGCAATTTTGCAGCCAATGTGTCCCATTCCAATAATCCCCAGAGTCGACCCTGTGACTTCAACTCCCATCAGGTTTTGCGCTATATAGGCAATGTTGGGGTCTGCAACCATTTGGTGACCTGCAGAAAAACAGGACATAGCCTCAAACAAGCTGAAGGTTTAATTCATCACCAATGCCACATTGAGGCAATTAACACAGATTGTTAAGCTCTTGGAGAAAATATATGATTTTGGTCGTTAAAAATTAAAATTGACTTGACTCACCTTCAACGATCCTGCGTGCCGATGCCAGAAGCAGACCCATCGCCATATCCGCAGTGGCATCGCCCATGGTTTGTTCTCCATTACCTGAAATTAAAGCACTTACACACTTGGTTCATCTCATATCAAAGAGGAGTATATGGTGTCTGTAACTGTCCCTGGCTCCCAGACTCTCAGGGACCAAACATCTCTAGTTTATTTTTGCCATTGTAGGCACTAAAACACATTATAAATTGAAATAATAGAGGCTTTAAACAAAAAGTTTGATATTTGGGGAAATATTCTTAGTTGCCAGAGTAGAGGTGTTTTCTCTCTGTAGCCTGTTACCTCTTTAACAAACTGCATTAAGTATAAATACACAGTCTGTGGTATTTATACTGTCTTCTGTGTCCCGTTTATTTCTACCGGCACAAAGCGTTTGTCATATTTATAAATTATTTACGTGTGTATGTTTTGAAATTCTGAATGTGACGTCATTAATTAATTAACCCAAAATATGATTATGGTTTCTCTTGAAGACTGGAATTAATTTATTAGGCTCCATGTTTCAGGTTAAACTTAAATGATATAACTCAACAAACCCGACACTCAGGAATGATCAGCCTCACGTGACTGAATGGAAATGATTTTAATTGTATTCATAATAACAGTTATTGAGGGGAATATCAGATCATGAGAAGACACATCTTTCTACTAAATGAAGAAAGTTGTTTGTGGTGCTTTTGTTGTTCAGTCTACAATGAACGTCTTTTTAAACCAGATGGTGAATCAGAAAACTAATCAAATATAAAACTAGAGTTTAATCTCTGATCTGTCTTCACTCTGGTATGAAACTCAGAGATATTTAGATAATTCTGATCAGTCCGATCGGCTGCAGCGTCCAATCACATAACTGATGAACAAGGAGGGGGCGTGTCGACCGTTAAAAACACTTCCTGGAAGGCTGTTCTCGTGCGTCCTCGCTCATGGCTCTGCAGAGATCCCTCCTCGATCGAGGAAATGACAAATAAGAGACTTGGGATGTACCCTTTGTCTCCTAGGTGCATTTTAAGGGATTGGAAGATCCTTCATGATGGCGGAGGGGGAACAATGTTCGTGTCAAGCGAAAAGAGAGGGCGCAAGGAAGCATAACTGAGTTCTAATACCACATCCGGTCATATTTTGCAGTGCGCAAGCTGTGAGTATGCGATTTGGAAAGCAGTGTCTGTTCGCATGTTGAAAAGCACCCACAGTTTCCAAGATGGATGCCTCTGTTTACTCAAATCCCTTCTCATTAATCACACATATTAACAAACAATCATATAATCATAACCAGTGGTGCACCGAATAATGACGAATTCAGTATTAACTTAAAAACTTGTTCTCACGTGTGTTGTTTTTCTTTGCTTTTCAGGAAGAACTACTAATGGTGCGTTCACAGCTGTTCGCGCAGCGTTTGGTGCGTGAACACGGCGGAAGTCCTCCATATGTGAAGGAATTCAAAATAAGAGCCCCCCCCCCACACTCAATAACAAAACTATTGCTCCTAGTCTTACTCATTCTACTATTTTTACAATTGCAATATTCTAATACTTTATATTGTTAGCAGTTTTCAGTATTTCAAAAGCATCCAGGCCATAGATACAAGTAGTACTCCTCATGACGGGTGAACTGATCATGGAGAGTCCCTTAACTTGTATTTGGTTCCACTGAACTGATGAAGTTGCATTAACTAATTAAAATAACTAAGTTTGTGTTTCAATATTATCATTTGTCCAGATAAGTCTGGACCATAAATCAGCCCTGAACCGAACACTCATCTCTCCCTCCTATCCCATAACTTTATAATGTTACATGCTTAATTCCTCTGCGACCACAACGATTATATGATTATAAAACCTCTGATTTTAAGCCCTGCACCCAACCCTTTCTTACCCAAACAAAGTTTGTTTCCTTAACATCCCCCCCAAAAAACTCATAAACTGTAAATTGCAAATTGGATAACAGGCTTACCTTTTTGTGTTGCAGTTGGCGTGAAGATCTGTGCATGTTTGTCACTTTGAGAAGCCGAGACGATTGTACTGGACCCCACAGTCTGCTCACACACCGGATGTAGCAGAGACTTTGCATTCTAGCTGATATTGTCAATATATAATTGTATAACGTTACACAAAAAATAGGCAATAAATAAAAGAATCAGCAATAGAATCAGCATAAAACAGAGAGAGGTAAAGTGTTAACTCTACAACTCTGTGTCATATATGTCAAAACGGGCATGTGGTTAAAGTCCACAGGTCAAATTCCTATGAATGAATTATTAACTTGTAGTTTAGTTTAGTGGAAGAAGATTAAATAGATGAAACTTGAGACGTTGACCCAATATCAAAGAGAGGCGAGGAGAGCAGCAACACATTTACACATGTTCTATTACACTTGCGACGGTCATTGAAAGTTCTCCGACAATTCCCGATCCTCCCAAGAGCACGTTAACGTTACCTGTTTGCAGACTGCAGAACGGGGCGGTATTCAACCGGCCCACCGTGATTTGATTGGTTTAATCTCTGACGCCGCTGTCTTCTTCACTCACAGCATTTGTCAATCACGCATGTCAATCATGACGCCTCATACACTTTAGCACAAACTATCTAATTAAAAAACAAACTTGTCAGAAAAATGAACATACATTTTCGATTAATTGTGGATTCATAAGGGCAGGCAGTGGATGGGTGAGAATAAGCAGCATATTTAGTGAGTATCATAAAACATATTTACAGTTAACTTGTTCTCATTTTTTGCCACGTTATGGATTTTTTTCTCATTTATTTTAGAGGGTGATCAGCTGATTTATTTTTAACAACCAGAAGTGGGCCAACAAAAGGTTGAGATTGAGAACCCCTGCTCTCTAACCTAGATTAGGATACAAATGTAAATTGATCATGTACCCACTAGATGGCAGTATTACATCAATCTGTGTCTGTGTTGCAGCACAGTGACTTCACATGTGTTTGAAAACAACCTGCCTGCACGTATACGCTGCTTCTTTTGTGTGGGATGGACGACCCCAACCACCGTGAGGTTTTTTTTTCATTAACAGTTGCATATCAGTAGAATCAGCAGACAACAGCAAGACTGTGTAAGACATTGGTTCCCAACCTTTTGGGCTTGTAATCTACATCGTGTGACCCTTTAAAGTGAGGAAATATGTGCAGGTTATGGCCTTAGTGTGGACATGAGAGTGAGTTCATATGAAATTTCATCAGAGGGGTTTTTACACTCCCGAAGAGGTGAATTAATCTAGTACTTATTTCACAAGATCAAAGTAAGATTTATGGAAAAGTTACAAAAAATTACATATTCTCAGGTTGGGAACCATTCTGTTTAATAGGCCTTTCTCACGGAAGACATTTTGATTTGTAGAAGTAGAAAAAGCACAGGTGTTGGTAATAACTTTAACGATGGCTCTGTTTTATTCAGGTGTTCCAGTGAACAAGCCTGCACAATACCAGGAACCTGAAATTTAAGCAGCTAAATGGAATTCATCCATTATTAATATTATTATTTACACCTGTGTTGTTCCTACTGTGACAACTCCAAATGTCTTCTGTAAAAAATGCCTGTTTGATTTGAGTTAGGTTAAATTAGTCGTTCATGTAAATGTAGATCCATTAAGATTCTCTGAAATCTTAAACATCAACAACTTGTAGTAAACGAGATATTTGTTGAGCATACTTTCTGCTTTTCATTCAGCTGCATGCATTCGCACCTGAAATCTGTTATTACCGCTTTTTGACGCTGTATGACCTGATTCACTGATGCTCAGTGAAGTTTTCACTCAAATGATTTGTAAAAACAAGCAGATGAGAGACCCTGCAGTCACAAGGTCACCTATTGAGCTTTTAAAATGCAGCTGCCCCCTAGATTTGTCAAAAATTGGTAATAAGGAGTTAGCGATGATGTGATTGGCCTTAGAGCATGAGGGAGTGTCATGTGGGCTAAGCAGTTACAGATCAGCAGCTTACCTGCTTTTCGCCGTTATGTAATCTCCCCACTTGAATTTAAAAGTGTCTGCTCCTCTTGTCTCCCCCCCCCTGCCTTTTCACACCTCCTCCTCACCTGTGTCTCTTGCTCCTCCTCGCCTCCTCCCATCTCCCACTTCTTGCTCTACCTGTTGTAGCAGCCAGAGTTGTGTGATTACTGTAATGCCCTCTCCCATCCCCTCTGATGCCTTCTCTTTGTCTCTCCTTCGTGCATCTTCTTTCTTTTATCCATACCGGACAGGAGTCATATGGCCCGTTCAGATCTCCGGACAAGCTTCGGTTCGATCCGACAGCAAAGTGCTGACTCACGTGGTAGACACAGCAGATATATACTTGGTTGTTCAGGCAGCATTTTGAATATTGTTGACAATGCTCTTCTCCGATTAAAGGAAGTATTATCCGTGTCACATCAGGAGGTCAAAGGGCAGTTATGTATGGCTTCAAGGATGAACTGATTCGATTTTGGTGGTCAAAGGTCAAGGGCGCTGGGAACTCACGTCTGGTCCATTCTCATGAAAGCAATATCTCAGAAACCCTCCTAAAAAAAACACTTATTATGACTCAGCACGACATAACTTATTGTGTTGCATGTCATGGTCTCATGCTGGTGGACAGGTGGGAACTTATACCTGTGGTGTCACAGCTGTCATGTTAGAGCACAGAGGAGACCTGCTGACGTAAGTCCACTGCCTCATTCTGACTCAGCTTATCATAGCTCTTTGAAGTCAAGCTGTAGTTGCTTTTCACTCCGCCTCTTCTGAGTTGATAAAAATAAAACTCCAACACAATGCACATGACTTTGTAGGATTTACGAATGCTGTTAGTGCTGTGGTGTCATATCTGCTTTCTTGTATTATCTGGCAGAGGTAAATTGTAATGAAACAAGACAGGAAGAATTATATATAGTAACTCTTTTCTACTGTTACTTCCAGAGACAAACAAATAAAAGTCATATGTAAAGAGTCCGAAATAATGTAAATGCTGCTAATATTTACCAGTAATTAGCTAATTTAATGGTTCATTAAATTGCCTTGGTTGGGGTGCTTGCATTTATCATTTTAGAAATGTAATTTAAGTTGAATTTTACTCACTTTGTGGGGCATTTTTAGTTTGTTTTTTTGCAGATGTTGCAATCCAGCACAGCCCTGTGTCTTTCACAAACTGTTATCAATAGGGCTGACCTCTTAAAAAAAATCTTAGTCGACTAATTGATTAGTTGCTTTAAAGGACAGTTCTGTAAAACTGAGTTTCTCCACTAAGAATCCACAACGCAACAAAACAATCCACAAAAAGCACCACTATACAGTTTTATGTTTACCAGAGATGTGCTCATAAATTTCTTGGAAATAAGTCGGTCATGAAAAAGCACTAGAAATAATTAATCAACTAATGGGATCTTAGTAGACTCAGACCAAAACAATCGATTAGTCAACTAATCAACAGTAACAATACAACAGTTTAAAAATAGTACATAAGTATTATCAGCAAAATGCTCTTAAAGTATCCAAACTAAAAGTATACATTTTGCAGAAAAATAGCGCCTGTGATTGTTTTATAATATCATATGTTGTATGAAATGTTTCCTTCAGGATCCTGCTGCATGAAACCACAGGAAACATCTAATGATGACATAATCATCTATATACGTAATTTTATTACATGTTTAATAACAGTGAAGAAAACTGTGCATTGCATGTTTATGGTTGGGTTTGGGTGCCTTTAGCTTTCATTTCAATTTGCGTCAAGTCACACAAAGTCACACAAACAATGTGAATATTTGTGTGATTGAAAAGTTTCCTTCACAGTGTATTCGCCACTTTTTTCATGTTTGTGCTAACATCTCATGGCTAAATGCTGCTAAACTTGTTAGTGGACATCTGCAGGACATTGTTCTAAACAATAAACTGGTTGGATGCTGTGCTATAAGAAGTGCATGTCGTCAGTGACTCTGAGGTTTATCCTCTGGGGATGTTGCTGGACAGGTTCAGAGGATTTCCCCTCCTGCAGGTGTTGTTTTCTTGCAGACGTACAATGAGAGTTCACACCTGTGACTGCCTGTTTTGAAGAAGCTCATCATGCAGCTCTCATTATGTTCTGGTTGAGAATAAATTCCTCTGTTGTGTAATCCAGTCAGCCTGAGCATAAATCTGCTGCTCATGACGCACTGGTCGACTAGAGTACTCCCTGTTCTCCGACTGCTGGAGGTTCAGCTGCTCATCTCTGATGTGCAGTCACATATGTTTTGTCTTTTGATATGTGGGACACCTTCAGCAACACTAAACTCACTAAACATCTATAACCACTCCTCCAGCAGATCATCATATCACATTATTGTTCAGTAATTTTGCAGAGCAAGTAAAAACTTAAAAAATGAGAACTGTAACAGAAAGAGTCACAAAGTAATTATGATGCAGTCTTCCTTTTTTCTTGTGGAGAACTTCTGAATGTGTAACCTGCAGAGACCTTTCCTCAATAAAAACACTCTCCTCTGCCCAAAGAGCTTAGCTCACCTCGAAACTTCGTCCTCACTCCTCGGTGGATTCAGAGCAGCACAAAGTTAGCTCTGTGTGGTTAGATAACAGATAATCGCGGAGGAGTTTGGTCCTCTACTGTGCATCTCAGTAGCTTCTCCATCCAGCACCAGCTACTTAACCTTGTCTCTAAAGCCGCTGTTACCTAATATCAGAGCCTGTGTCGAGCCATGGGCTGGCTGGCTGGCTCTCTAGTTCAAAGCCTCTTGGCGTTTGAGCTGTGGCCGACCAGGCCTCACTGGTGCTTATGTGTGTGTGTGTGTGTGTGTGTGTGTTTGTGTGCGGATGAGTGTGGAGTTGGGGATTGCTCTCCAGTCAGATCAATGTTATGCAAACCTATTAGTCAGAGGTTGCAACAGTACTCAGGGTCAAACTCACTGATGAGCCCTCACTTCTGTTAAGAGTGAACAACAATCTTGTCTGCTGCTTCAAGTCAATAACAAAGAATCACTGCATTACAATGTGAAAAGATGATGCATGCATGTGTCCCGAAAGCTGGCAGACATTTATTACTTCTCTGTTATGTTTAGTTTGTGAATTTAGCGAATCATTCTATCTGTCAGTGAGGTCCGGGGTTTGCTGACTCAGCAGGCAGGAGGCCTTCTCAGTGTACTTTGTAAGGCCATTTAGAAAATGCTCCCTGGAACACCGGGCTGAATAAGCCCCTTGGCTTTGACTTCCACTAATCATCTTAGGCAAAGCATGGCTGCAAGCAATGTTCCTGCAAGGGAACATTTGTCCTGGGCCGCAGCAAATGCATGGTGGTTATCGTCACCATAATCTCTCTCATCATTATCATGCAATAGTCAGTAATAAATAAGTGTATTATAGTTTCGCTGCAACAGATAATAACTAGAGGTAATATAAGGGAGTGCAAAAGAATGTAAACACAAATAAGTCTACAACTATTTAGCTTTATCATTTGAACCCTTGCACAGCACTAGTTTGCAAATATCCCTCATTATGCAAAATAAAAACAGCAGCGTTGATAACATACACATGATGCATGCAAAACTATTGTTAGAAAATGACAAAAACGTTGGCAGGTGTACTGCACAAACAACTAATAATGTATTGAACTTATCCTCTATTTTAACATTTAGAAATATTTGAAATGCTGCTTTAAGGGGTTTTAATTGTTTTTACTTCCTATCAGCATCAAGTACAATAGAGAAAGGATAACACTTTATTCATCCTCGACACAAAAGGGATTAAACAGAGCAAAGGATATATAGAAATTAGGAGATGCACACCATAAATGAAATTAAAGCTATGAAGAGACAGTAAACAAATACAGGAGAGTGTAATGTATGTGGAGAAAAAAACTAAAGCCAACAATAAATAGAAATAGGAAAGCTATATACAATTCATTGTATGAGTGGTAATAGTTAGTATATGCCAAAATAAAAAACGGTTTCACTGTTCAACATTACAATTTCTTAATTCATTGAGTTATTTAGGAAGTATTATAAAGCACACCAACTTTACTACACTGACAGTCTTTAATTCTACATAACTACTAATACTTCTGTTGATATTATAAACATTGTTTTCACGGATTTATTTTTCAGTGTTAATGTTTGAAATGCTAATCGCCGTCCAGGTGCCGGGGACAACGCGGCCTCCCATTGGCCGCCGCCGCGTCACGTGACGAGCAGTGTTGACGTCAGCGGAGGGTCTGCTGAGCGAGGCGGCGTCCGTGCTGCAGAAGAAGCCCCGGTAGAGTTTAGAGTTTAGACCGAGAGCGGCCACGGAAAACTACCGCTCCTGAGTGGCTCCTGCAACCTGTTGCCCGCCTTGTCTGCAACTTTTTAACCGTTCGCTCCGGTGACGCGGGGTAATGGACGAATAGAGGCTTTATTAAACAGGTCCCCTGACAGGAACTTTAAAGTGAGGTAAGTTGTGTCGTGTCCCGTCCCTCCCTCGCTGTTTGTCCTCTTCCTGTTACGTTTTCTTTCTCTTTTATTTGTTTTGCTTGCAGCGCAGTGGAGATGAGTTTACACGTTGAAGCGCTCACACACACTTGCATTCGTCTGTGTAATATAACAGCAATAATAGTTGTTACACTTTGCAGAGCAGCAGCGTTAACAAGATGCGAGCAGCGGATAAAGCTCTACATAGATTTCCAGTCGAGTGAGGATGCTTCCTCTGTCCTAAAGGAACCCTCGGAGGAGCCCGGTAGAGGTGCTTGTCGCCTTCATGCACTCTCCACATTTAAATGTAGAATGAGAGAGTGCAAGAAGCGAAAAAGGAGTCCTCCTGCAACCACACAAGGCTGAGTGAGGAAGGGTATCTGGTTTCAGCGAATACACGTCAGTCAGTCAGTCAGTGGACTTAAGTAGAGAGAGAGGAGGCAGCATTATTGGACACTTGGTCCAAAGGAAAAAGTGGTGCTTTATCTTGACAAGTGAAATGTTTGCTTCACTGTGAATGAACGCCTGTGGTAGACGTGCTCTCATTATATAGTCAGTGGTCAGTAAGAGTGTTGTAGCAGTGAGGTATAAGTTTTAATTTTAATGAGCTTACAGTCTTGAGAGCTTCAGGGCATTACATGTTATAAAATAGGTAACATGTCAGACATTTGCAGGTTACAACTTCTTAAATGTGAGGATTATTTTTTTGATAGCTTTTCCTTGTTTTTAGTAAAAATACAACATGTCTTTACAGTTAATCGTTTATATAAGAAAATAGGGACCAAATAAGGCCCATCTAAATTAATTAGATGATCGTACTCCAACGACAGAACACCAGTTGCTTTGTTTAATGAGAAGTTTTACAATTCAAATATGTTTTTAACTAGAGGATAAAATAATTTATTTCATTATTGTCAGTCATTCTCCTGAGCCCAAGGAGAGTCTTCAAACTGTTGCATCTATAACAGTCCCTTATCCAAAGATACATTCACTATAAAACAAGAAGAAGCAATTCATCAATAAACTGTTTTGACTGTAGACAAATTCTTCAAGTCAAAATATCAAACATTCACGTGTTCTCAAATGTGAGAATTTTATTTTCCGCCATATAGACTAAATAATTAAACCAAAAAACAATTGACATATTCATCAATAATGAAAATAGTCATTAGTTACGACCCGCCATTGAGTTGATTCATCGGAGGATCACATTGGGTTCAGGTTTCCATGAGACAGTCGAGCAGCTAAAGTAAGACTAAAGGACTGAAGACTTGCTGCCTCTGAAGGTGGCTTGTAGTAAATGAAGGCCACTGGTTTGGCTTTGATGTGGGATGTAAACAAGAACCTGTTGAGGCTGAATTTCCTCTTGCGGAGTGATCCGAGTGGACACTAACTCTAACATGACGACTGGTTTTGCTGTCTTTGAAGCACTGTGGCTTCCGAGTGCTTCAATGTGTTTTTAGGAAATGTCAACTGAAACAGCAGTGAAATGCTCCGGTCCAACTCTCTCTCCTCGCCTCACGCGGCCGGCGCAAGCACAGCAGGAGAGTTTAAAGACCTGCGGAGGTGCTGACACGAGGGTGGAGTCGAGATAATAGCCCTCTTGGTGTCGAAAGCGTCCCTCCAAACAGTTCAAGATGCTGAACTCTGACAAACATACACTAAATTTAAACAGATGTTCTATTTTCGTGTGTGTGGGTTTATGTTTTGAGGCCAGACTGACCACACTGGCAGCATCCTCTGTAGTTATGCTCGTCTGTGCAGAAGCCAGTGCACATTTGAATTGAGTTCAACCTTCTTTTTTCAAATTTTTTTTTTTGTAGAAAAAGCAGACGGGGAGAGTGATTGGGAGTAAGCGAGGATGAGTGGAGGATTAAACTGAAGGAGGAAGCAGCAAGAGAGAGCTTCAAATGCTGAGATAAAGACACGGATAATGTTTTTGGATAGAAAGCCACATTTCACGCTGTGCTGCAGATATCGGTGGCAGAGGACAGATTGATATTTCCATCTGTTTCCTTTGTCTTTACAACAGGCTATTTTCAGAGAGAGGTGCATTTTAGACATTCAATGCAAAGTAAACAGCACTCTCCTCGAGCAATCAGTGACAATTTGCTGTGTGTGTGCGTGTGCGTGTGCGTGTGCGTGTGTGTGTGCGTGTGCGTGTGCGTGTGTGTGTGTGTGTGTGTGTTCATCCAATCCTGAGTCTGTTGCAGCTCTGTCTGCCTTCTTGCAAAAAAAAATCTTGTTCTCATTCGCTCCCTCATAATGGCTTCTCTGTCATGATTGTGGTTTTCTGCAGCGTCTTGATGCACAAAGCTCTCCGGCTGACAATGGGAGCTCATGTGCGCTGCATTATGATGAAGTCGCTGCCTCTGGTTTCTCAAAGGGTGGCTGAGAGTTAGAGGGAAGGAAGGAATAGTTTAAGGAATTCTCATGTAAATAAATCCCATTTAAAGACTGCTGGAGAATAAAGAAAACAAAACCCTGTTAATGTGCCATTCATTGAGTCATATTGACAGTTGTGTTGGAGAATTGACCAATAATCACATCCCACTGATGTCCATTGAAATGACAGACAGAGGCAGTAATGAAGTATTATGATAAACCCAAATATTAAGGAAGTTGTGGCTGTTTTTAAAGCTGCTATGAATGTTTAATCCTGATTTGACCTCCAGCCTCAGTTTGATGTGAAACTGTCTTATGTTTGCATGTAGAGGAAGTTGATTATTTCCATTATAGACCAATTTGATGATTATTTATTTTCCAAGTAATTGTTTAGTCTTATTTCTAAGTTTCAGAGCGTATTCAAATTTCTTTTGTCCCACAAAACCCAAAGATATTCAATTTACGACAAAGAAAAGCAGCGAATGCTCACTTTAGAGAAGCTGAAAGCAGAGAAAGTCGATCGAACAATGATAGACAACATAAATCAAATCTCAGTATAGTTCACTTGCGTCGATTAATTAATCCACAAAATGTTTCAGCTCTAAACTGGATCATGTTTGTGTCACAAGACCATCGGCATCAAAACCACTTTCACTTTTAAGTTGCAGTCTTTCACTTGTATCTCTCTTTCTAATCCTCTTACTCGTACTTTGTTTTTGTCTTGGTGCAGCCGTTCTGCTCTGCTGAAGATGTTAAGTTTCTTCAGACAGACTCTGGCACAGATCGGACCGGCAGTAGAGCAGCACCTGACCTTCCACTAAATAACACGGGAGATAGAGTTGCTTGCAGATATTCAAGGAGCCACCAAAAGCACGCTGCACTGAACAGCGCTCGCCACGATACTTGTAACGTGAGCGCCGGTGCTCCCGGAACTATGCCGAGCTGCTGCTGCTGCAGCATGTGCTGCTGATCAGACACTTGATTGCAAGACGACGGTCAAAGAGATAGATGTGTGTGTCGAGATGTCGAGGAGGGCTGCAAGGCCTCGTTTTTAGATCGCGTAATACTTGAGCCAAAAGGGCACAAGTGGGAAAACCAACAGACTTCTGAGAGTAATGGCTAACACATGTGAACTCTTTTCTTTTATTCCACTGTATCATACTGTCCACGTTGTTTGTGCTCAACAATAGATGCTTGTTTCCGTTGGTTTGATAGTAACTGCCCTGACATGACGTTCATGTGCATTGTGCAGGTGGACTCTTCAGTCGCTGTCGTGCGGCAAAATTGAAGTTTGAGGCTGAAAGAGTGGTGTTGAGTTGAGTCTTTGATGCGCTGTTTGATCTCAGTGGTGTTAGTAGAAAGTTTGCAACCGTGTCAGTTTGTGTCGTCCTGCACTGTACTTACCGTACGCTTTAATAACATCCGTGTTTATCTCTGGCAGAGCGTCCAGAGTCACAGTCGTGACACCAGCCAACATTATTTTTGTGTGTAAACTGTCTCACCGCTTGGAAATGTTCTCCACCTCCCGAACATCTTTATTTAATCTACACACCTCAGCTCTGGAGGACATGAGGAAAGTACTCGTGCTTACATAAATGTGAGGTTTTTGGATGGTTTCTTTCAATGCTGCTGTAAACCAGTTGTTGGACTCTGTTAATCAAACACTCAACGCTGAGCTCTTGCAAAAACAGATGATGCAAAAACCGATTAGTCGCTTAAATAGCAAGAGAAGAAAGAGAGCTGTTGTAATATCGCAATACTGAAAATCATGTGTCTGTGTGTGGCGTTGCCTGAAATCAAAATCTGGTCTCACTGGAGCTGCTTCTTCCAATTTGTTCTCCGTTTTTTTTAATATATTATTACAGCTGAGATGAAAATGAATTATTTATTTTTGACCCTTTGGGTGAATATCAGATTGCAGATCTTGCCGGTCCGATAATTGCTTGCCTGTTCGGTAGAGAATGGCCGAGCTCAGCGCTGTAGCCTGATCACAGACGGCTCATATTTCATTATGAATGTATCATTCATAAACTCTAATCTGTCACCGGGTCTCTTTCAGTCCCTGAGCTCTCTGTTGGCCTCCCACTATCTTCTTCTTCTTTCTTCTTCTGCTGTCTCTGTTCTGGGATTATCCGTGGGACCGTTGGGTTGAGATTTACCTGAAGGATATAAATGGAGACTTCTGCCTGTTACGTAAGTCGGCAACAAGATGTTCTCGGATGAATGTCGTGTCGAGGGCCTTTTGACTCAACCAGCGAGATGAACGAGCCGGCCGCTCAGCTGCTGCAGTGCGAGAGCTTTGGCTGCACGTACATAGTTCATACATTCACATAGATTTTATTTAGGTTCTTTACTCACAACTAACAATTATTTCCATAATCCAACAGTCGAAAACCAGCTCTATTTCAAAATCTGAGGATTTGCTGCCTTTCTTTTTCCATGTATGATAGTATATTTAATATCTTTGTGTCTGTTTGAAGCCCTAGTTCTATTTCATGGAAATGAGAGCGAGATGTTCTCTTGATGCGTTGCTGAATATGATGCAGCATCGTTGGAGTTAAATCTGTCTCAAAGAGTCCAGCAGGTTGATCTGTGCTAAACGTCTCAAACACTGAACAACATGTTTGTCCCGTCGGTGTTGTTAGAAACCCAAAGCGGCAGCCAGCTTTCTGCTGGATTACACCACCTGCCTCATCTCGGGCTCTGCTCTCGTCCCAGACGTTAAACAAGGGCCTGGCGTTCACTCCCTCGTCTTTACCTCATGAGACGGCAGAGACTTGGCTCAACCATGTGACCTGTCCACTTGTCAAAGCCTCTTTTATGCAACAATGCTATTAAAAGGTCTGCCAGCAGCAGGTAAGAGTCTTAGCGGTCGACTGTAGGCAGTGATCTCTGAGAGACAGAAATAGCTGAGTTCTTAGGGATGATATGTTCAGTGGAGGTCTGAGCTCTCATCAGAACGTTTCCTCTTTTTTAGATCCAGAGACCTTCAGCCAGGCGAGATAAAGAGCGACGGAGTGCACTGTTTCTACCTTTACTTACTGTACACATGGAGCAATACCTGCATGTCTGTGGACTGTGGGAGGAAATGGAAACCCAGAGGGAGTGACATGCAAACTACACATAGAAACTACAGCCAGCCGTGTAGTCTGAAGAAGTGGCAAAACATTTTTAAAACGAGTGAAATACTCTCCTGGTAGTAATGACTAATCATTTTTCCATAAAATGTCAGAAAATAGTGGATAATGGGCATTATGATACATTATTGTGAAGCCAGTAAGAGCAACACTAATAAGCTTCCCTCCCTCGTGTCGAGTAATGAGGGAAACATTTCTCTTTGTATGAATAGTGAAAGGAGTCTGTATGATTAGAGCCGCAGCTAAAAGCAAATAATTAAAAAAGCCGTCAGTCTGCAGAGAAAGTGTAATTAAATGCTATTGTGAATCAAAGACAGCATGTGAAGTAATATGTATTTTTTTTTTTGTTTTGTTTTTTGACAACTTGCTGATGAAAACACGAGGGAAGGTATGGTCAGTAATTATGACAGCGCAGCCTCAGTAATCATGCAAATATCTACCATCCATTAAAACCATTATGAAATGCAGATTGCAGAGTATGTGGGGATCCAGAGCACCGCATGAAACAAAGTGTGTGTGTGTGTGTGTGTGGGTGGGTGGGTGGGTGTGTGTGTGTGGTACACGGTACACTGACTGAACTGGTTTTAAATCACTGCATGTGTATGCATTTAGACTTTGAATCAGAGACATAGAACCTTAATTTGGTTGTGATTAGACTTTTTAAAACAACATACCATTTTCGATCAACCATTGCTTGCAGCAAAATGTCAGATTGTTGTCTTCTAGAGGCAAAATAGATATAGTCACTGTATTTTGTGTTTTTTATGTGAACATCTTTAGCATAGTATTTATTTAATAATTTATGTTTTAAGTGTTTCATTGTGTTTTGTGGAGTTAATCTTTAGATCTGTGTGAAAGACAAATGTCTCCTCTGAGACAATAAAGTTAAGGTTGAAGTTGAATACAGGTGAAGACAATAGTAACTTTCCTTGTGTAATCTCAGTTATTTTCACTGTGAGCTGCTTCATTACAGAGTCTATCGTGGTCATATTGGCAAAGCTAATCAAGTCAATCAGCTGACAAGTATGTGCTGTCTTCTTTAAGTTTTACAATCTGACAAAAACAGGAAAACTTGTACTGTAATCTACACCCTGAAAATGATGAGGATTCTGTAACGGATAATGCTCACTGGACTCTTACTGGGACTCTTAAATGGAAACTAGTTCATATGATTTGTTACACCTGTGCTTTTCTGGCTATGACCAGTATGTCTGCACCCACACCCACCTGAGGAGAGGCCTAATCAGGTAGAATTATTGAAAACACCTGTGTGGGTGCTCCATGGGTTTGTTAATAGCCCTTCAGATGCGGATGTTGGGAATATTTCAATGCTGGATTTATTTGGGCTGCAGCTAGTGATTTGTTGTCGGTATATATATTTAACCTGTGAATTATATATTAATCGTTTGGTCTATAAAACATCACAAAACAGTGAAAAATGTCGTTGGATAACTTGTTTACTATAATGAAAGATAAAGAAAAGCAGTGAATTCTTCCATTTGAGAAACTGGAACCATCAAAGATGAAAATAGTTCCTGTAGCAGCTGATACCTTTTGGGTTTCATGTTGTGTAGTATACAGTCTCTCTCAGGTGTAGACTGTTTGCTTCTTTCTAATTTAAATGCAGACACACTGCCAGTCTGTGTATCAGACGGTCACGGTGAACCCCCGCTGTGTAGTTGCTGACGTGTTTTGTTCCAGGAGTGATGAGTATGTAAACGGGTGTTAATCTCCTTTTCACGCTGCTCCAGCATTCACGCTGGCATTGAAGTGAACTCATTAGAGGTGGCTGCCACATTGCTAGAGCCCATTGTTTACTCAGAGTTAATTAAAGGATTATGGCGGCGGGCTGTTTACGGAACATGCAAGTATGAAACAATTTAGAAAAGACGACCGAGTCCTTGAATTAGCAGTTTGCAAAATGACTGCCTTCCTCCCTAAATTCATTTGTGTAGTGTTTCCAAGAGCCTCTATTTCCTGTTGAGTTTGTCACTGAAGCAGCACTTTTCATCAATGCAAAGTTCTTTGTTATTGGCAGGAAGAGCATATTCCCGCCGAGGCACCCATGCACTTTCCTGTAAAGTAAACATGATGGCGGCTCTTTTTCAATCGGTCAGACTCAATCAGACTAATTAATGGATCAACTGAGAGAGTGAACTTAAAACAAGTCAATTGGGAGCTTTAAAAGTCAAAATTTGCATACAGTGATATTAGTTCGACAGCTAACTTTAATGGCATTATGGCTTAGGGTACAATTAGTTAGTACGGTCTTACAAGCTCATTTATTTCTTTACATTTATAAACCATCATGTATCTAACTTTTAACAATGTGAGAGAAGCAACAAACAGTGACTGGAAACGCAGAGGTGACCGACCTTTTTGTCCCTTCCTGGAACAAACTACCTGTACAGTAATTTGCTTTGGCCTGACCTGACATTGCTGATGTTCTTTGCCGTTATCCTCGGCTAAGCTTGGAACAGCTTCCCTCTTCTCTTTAGCCTGGAGAGCTCAGCTAGCGGTCTGACCGGGGAAAAGTGCTAAGCACATTAGCTGCAGGGCTGCGTCTTCTCTAGAGTCTTCACTTTCTGCAACGACTAATTCACAGGAGTGTGATTTTTCTATGCGACGCATCACCAAGTTGGATCAGCTACGCGGCTAGTGTGCGTGTTCATGATGCACTCGGAAAGCATAAAACAAGTCAAATTGTCCTTGAGGTCAACTACGTATATCTACATCTTTTTCTGCAGGTTACATTTCAAAACCCAAACCGGGTCGATAAACCATCTCGACTACTAATACAGAGGATGTGTATGTGTGTGTTGATGGATCAGTATCGTAGTTTCTGCAGGAAATGGAAGGTACAGCTGCAGATGCACGCACAGACACACTGGCATGGTTGTCAACAGTGAATGTGCTCGGTGTGGGTGTAGTTGTGCATCAGTGGTGGTTGTGCGGTCTCCTGTTGCAGGTGCATGGCAGACTGAACACAGCTGTGCATGTGCACTTAATCTTCCTGCTTCTCTATTATCTAGTCATGTCAGGCTTTTGTGTTAAAGGTTATTTGCATTTTTTAATGAAACGGCAACAAAAGATAAGTGCAGTTAAGATAAAAGGCACCAAACTGTCAATTTAAATTACCGCCTTAAAAAAAGGCTAAATGAAAGCAAAAACTAAAAGTTTGACAGTGAAGAAAACACATTAACAAAAAACAAAGTATAATCCACAGTTTGTATTGAACACTGTAGGTTCCTTAACACATTTTCCATCATTTACGTTTATCCTTTTTAGTCGGGTTAATAGGAGCCACTTTGACAAGGTTTCCCACAGGAAATGATTTAGCGGCATCTCATCTAGTGAGTAATTTAGTTGGTAGATTATGGCCAACCTCCGTTTTTTAGCAGCGACAAAGGCCGATATTTTAAATCAGGAACTGGTAGAGGCCAAAAACAGAGCTGCAAGGAGAGTGATTATTGATTATAAGTGATAATATGTCAGTGTTGCAGGTCGTTCCACTGCCACAAAGTCAACAAAAAGTCAGTTATTGCAGTTTTTAAACTCTTTTTGGTGTCTTATGAGTCTATTTTTTTATTTTGTATTGGTTGTTTATGCCCCTTTTGTATCAAAAACACAAATTTCAGATTGTTTCTAACATAATTGTTTCGGTCTCCCTCCCTTTCGTCTTCACTGTCTGCAGTCTAAATCGCCGCTGCGCTCACCTCACAGCCTGAACACGCACACAGCGACCATGGGCAAACAAAACAGCAAGCTCCGTCCCGACGTCATGCAGGACCTGATGGAGAACACGGACTTCACCGAGCACGAGATCATGGAGTGGTACAAGGGCTTCCTGCGGGACTGCCCCAGCGGCGCGCTCTCCATGGAGGAGTTCAAGAAGATCTACGCCAACTTCTTCCCTTACGGAGACGCCTCCAAGTTCGCCGAGCATGTCTTCCGCACTTTCGACGCCAACGGAGACGGGACTATAGACTTCAGGGAGTTCATCATCGCCCTGAGCGTGACCTCTCGCGGTCGGCTGGACCAGAAGCTGAAGTGGGCGTTCAGTATGTACGACCTGGATGGGAATGGATACATAAGCAAGGCAGAGATGCTGGAGATTGTAACGGTGGGTTTACTGTTTTGGTTCCTCCTTATCTTTATTTCCCTCCATCTTTTCTTCTCTCAACTTTGTGCTTAGCCTCAGCCTTCCGGCGGCCGTTGCGTGCCGTCATGTTTACGCCATGTTCCGTGGTCCTAAAACTACTTCTGCAGCTGCTACATCATGTATATCCGTCTGCGTCTGTGTTCTGCACCAGTTGACTGGCCACAGCAGGAAAGGCGGCTGCGGTGTAATTTTAGAAACCAGCAGTTCCTCTCTGGCCCTCAGACGTCTCTAAATAACACTTGACTGAGATGTATTTCTAGAAGGGAGCGGTCCTCCTGTGATCCTCATATTGACTCAGTGCTACATCCAGCAGCTGTGCGGTTCTAGGAACCCCCCAATCGTTTACTCAGCAGCTCCAGTGTTACTTACACAGTCTCACACAGGCTCCTCGTCTTATTGGATAAATGGTTCAGACACACACACACACACCAGCAATCCCTCCCGTCACACATCACGGTGCTGAGTGCCAAAGAATGTGTCGTCCAATCCTCCAATCAGTGTCCTTTAATTTATACTGTCTGTGTAAAGTGAGCATGTGTAATGATGCCTTGATACATTGGCAAAATATCCATCAGTCCAATAAAGGGCAACAGCTCATGATTATTTTCAGTATTGATTCATCTATTTATTAATTCATATTATATATATTAATATTATGATTGAAGGGGTTGCTACAGCCCCTTCAGCACCCCCTCTTCCCACGTTTATGGAAAGTTGTTAAACATGTTTATCACATTTACCCAGAATCCAAGGTGATGTTGGCACAGTTCTTGTTGTGTCTGACCAACAGTCCAGATCCCAAAGATGTTAAATTTACTGCATACACAACACAGAACAGCTACATATCATCACACGCAAGAAGCTGTAACATGTGTTTGTTTTGCTGGATAAATTACTTAAAATAATGAAATTATTAATTTTCAGCTTTTGTGGAATAATAACCCCTACTGCAAAACCATACTCAGGCTTTTCTGTTATTTGGTAAATCATTAGTTGAACATTATTCATCATGATTAATTATTACTTATTTACTACAAATACCAAACATTTGATTTCCACTTTTTATATGCTAGGAGCTACTTTTGTCTTATTATTGCATTTAATTAGAAACTAGGTTTTTTGGCTGCTGGTCAGACTTTGATTGATCAACTAAATCAATACTCGGCTTAATGTAGTTTACACAGCTCCTCTGGTGCGACAAACTCTTCATCATTATGAGGCATATTTCACGAGTACTAAGCTTAATGTGTAATGCAGTATTAATAAATACTAACAGCTTCAGCCTTTAAATATCTCAGAAACCCTGAACAGTGAAGCAAACACATTCACTTTTCTTGATTTATCGTCTATTTAAAAACCTAAACTACGTCTTTTAGACATGAATGCTTCCTGTTTGTTTCAGGCCTCGGAGCCAAACATAGATGAAAGTAATCCTTTATCTCTCCTCTCTCCCCCAGAGGAGACGAGTTGATTGATGGGTCGTATATATATTTCATTGCACCTTTTCAACAATCCAGCTGACGCAACCTTCCAGTTTTGCTACTGGCTGGAATAACTGATCTGACTGCAGACTCTATATGGTTGTGTTTATCGTTGAAAGTGTTTGAGTGATTTATCTACTATTCTAAATGCATTCCACCCACCTTTTTTAAGTATTAAAACTTTAATGAAAGCAGGTTATTTAAGGTGTCCTAACTCACCAAAACAACCGCTTTTACAGTCAAACATTAAGCTTCTTTATTGTGTTTATAAAGTCTTCCTCTATGTTCCCTCTGTGTTCAGGCTATTTACAAGATGGTGTCCTCAGTGATGAAGATGCCCGAGGATGAGTCCACACCTGAGAAACGCACAGACAAGATATTCAGACAGATGGACACGAATCGAGATGGTGAGCCTTCCTCAGACTGCCTCTCGCTCTGCTCAAGTGTTTTCGGCTTAAACAGCAGCTTCGTTAACGCCTCGAACTGAATCTGATTCCAATCTAGGAATTTACTACTTCTGTATTCTCAATACTATTCTGTTAACACAGTGATCCATCATGTATTGTTCTGTTTGCTATTTGTGGTTGTACAGTTTTGCATCAGCTGTAATTGGATAATAAATCCAGTGCTGACATAAAATAGCCCGACCAGAGCCTCGAACCTGCCTAGCTTTCATGAAAGAGCCCAAATGTATTCTGGTCTCTGTGGATAAAGTTACATTAATCATCATAACTCTTTTACTTGACTTTAATCACAGCGCTTTGACTGAATATGAATAGGTACAACGTTTCAACCTAGTTGTGATAAACTGAAATGACATTTTTATTTTGTTGGTCATCGGTCTCTGCACGTCGACCTAGTGAATTAACTATCAATCATACCGCACAGAGGAGAATATGGGCCGACTTCCTGGAATATAGCCGAACATTTAGTAAAAAATAACTGAAAAACACTGTGAAACAAAGTCTGTAAACGCACTCTAGCATTCCAAATTGAAGCCTTTCAAATCAGTAAATGAACTGCTGTATGCTATATTGCTAGAAACATAATTTAAAAAACCTGATTAAATAATATTGATAATAACATGACGCATCAAGTTGGGGAAGAGATCTGCTCTTTGTTCTCATAATGAATTAACACGACAATTAACTGATAATCTGTGTGTGTCTCTCTCTCTCTCTCTGTCTCTGTCTCTCTCGCTGTCTCTCTCACTCAGGTAAACTGTCCCTTGAGGAGTTTGTTGAGGGAGCGAAGAACGATCCCTCCATCGTCCGGCTGCTTCAGTGTGATCCCAGCGGTGCTGGGCAGTAGAAAACTGGACTTTTTCCCATTGCAGGTTTATTAATCTAACACATTTTCAAAATCTCTCACCGCTGACCCACCTGAGATTGTTGACATTTGATCACTTGAGCTGTAGAGGCACATGTACACACACACACACACACACACACACACCTAGTCAACATGTACCTGTTCATACTGCAAATACCAAAGCCTGCTACACATAAATATACTCTTTGAGCGCCCACATACACACACTGTACATGTGCCTCTATGCGTGGTCAGACGCTGCAGACAACAACGATCTCGCACACGGTACAAATATAACTCAATGGACTAAAATCCCATCAAAGACTTGTTAAACACTGAATGAAATGTGTTATCTTTGTCCGAGGAGACGGCCAGCGAGGACGATCCAACAGATTCCTGAGGTACTCTGAGCCGAATCCAAGTTTGCTGTTTGGTCTTTTATTCGTTCTTGTTTTTTTGAAAGCGTAATTTCTTATTTAAAGGCAATCATGCTGATTTTGTTCTCTTTTAACTGACTCGGGTTGTTGAGTGATGGACTGATTCTCACACAGTATTGCAATCTAACTCCATGTTAACACTGAATGACATGAAGTATGTGAGTCTGGGGCGACAGGTGTTCACGGCTTGCAGTATGGCTCATGAAGACGGGAGATCCGGGAAGTTTAGTTTTTAACCATAGAAGAATTTCAGAAAGGATGAAAGCAGATTTAGTTTTTATGTATATTTTGGAGGAATGTCACATAAAACTAAACCTGACTCAGATTTAAAAAGGAAGTGGAATATTTTGACTCCAGATAAAAACCATCTGCTCTTTTGAAAGTGACTTTTTATGCCAAGTTCTTTGTCCTCACACACACACACACACACACACACACACACACACACACACACACTTCACATAAACACCTCTTAACTTTACAGAGGACTACATGAACTTGACATATGCATATAAACCGAGCTGTGATTCTCTCTATGGCGTATAAGCAAAAAAAAAAAAAAGTTAGATGTTATATGAATATATAGTCTGTTACTTATATATTCTTTTACTCTGTGATCACCTTGTGGCAATTTTCTGCAATGGAAGAAATTCACTTTAAAATTGACGTATAAATTATTTGAAATGTGATGGTGAACATTTTCTTTTACTTGACGAATATGATATGAAAGAAATTTGTACAGTATATTCACTCATATTTATGCTGGAGATGTTAAAATGGAGAGGAGCACACACTGCTATGCATTCAGCTTTGAATACCCACAGCTACACTTAGTCCATGTAGCTTCTTTTTTCCCCTCTACTGACATCCTATTTCCCAGAAAGGCAGTAAACATGTGTAGCATCTGCACAAGTTTTGTGCAAATGTGACTTCACGTCTCTTGACTGTGCATCAAATTTAAAAATACGAATATAATTGTAGACAATTTGAGCACGACTGTGACAATGGAGATTACAGATAGTTTCATGACTAAGACGCAGCAGCAAACCACGAACAGAACACGGACGTTGGTAGCGAGTAACGGCAGCATCCACCAGACCTCACTGTTTTTGTACGATTCACTGATAGCTCTTTACTGCTTCCATTCTGCTTCATTGTTCACATGCCTGTACCTGCTGGTCTGAAAACACCATGAGGTGCTGTAGTCTTCACAAGGAGATGAATGAGAGGGGGGGGGGGATAGTTGTGATAAATTATCTGCACATTCAAGTCAGTGATCAGGTACATCAGTCCCACATTTCACTTCAATAGCATTTTGTGGTCAAGTGCCAAATATAGATGAGTTAAATACAAGAAAAAAAATAGTGTTGTATCCATTTATACTGAACAGTTGTTACCTGTCGAACAAAACACTTTGTCCCTGTACCATTTTGTAGATTTTGTATTGCATTATGTGTTCTGTGTAGATCGTCCATTTTGTTATTCAAATAAATACAAAATGGGAAAATGGCCTTTTGGTCCTTTGCATATGTATTTAGACATGATGTACAAAGTAATAAAGACATAATCACCCATGACAACTGTGTGACTCAAGAGAGGGTAATGTCGGTTTGGAATAGCTGAACGAGTATTGGATGGATTGCCAATTAACTGTCGCGGTTCCCAGATGATACATCTTTGTTGGATGGAGTTGTAAAAATAGTTCCTATGAAATAAAGCTCAACCAAACCACAGCTCTGCCACAGACTAGACTGCTAAAGGCAAGAGAGCTAACACTAGAGCTAGCTGGAGAGATCACCTTAGCCCTGCTGAAGATGAATCAACTTTTTTCCTGAGCTGTTTATCAAATCCAACGAATTGTAATTTTTTAGTTTGATAACCCGCATAACCAATGGCTAAGTCAAGTTTAGCCTAGCTTAGCAGAGTACAGCAGTAACTGCCATCACAGCTACTGACTAGTGGGATTCATGTGATTTGATGTAAAGTTGCCTTAAAAACACAACGAGAAGGCATTACAACCTTTTATATTTGTGAAAGTCATCTTCATTGTTTAAAATCTGTACTGCTCTCTGTCAGTGTACCTGATTACCATCAGTTGCAATTGTGTACGTTAGTATTTACTTCAAAGAAAGCGGTGCCTTAGGTACAGCAGCCTATGGTACAGCTTCATAGAGGCTCACTCAAGTCTTCTTTTAACCAAAAATGACAGATCTATGTTTATACCTTTATTCATTTTACAATACAGCCAAGCACATGAGGCCAAGTGCCATTTGTCACCCGACAGAAGTTAACAGTATTTTTAAATCATTACCATCTTATGTTAGGTCCTACAAAGAAACACTTTGGCTATTTGTTGACATGTTAGTCGTAGGAACATGGCGGAAAAATGGAAGATAAACCATTTAAAAAAACGTGCGTACGCTTAGCGAGGGCGACTATGAATAAAGTCACTGAAATGTAAAGTACTTGAAATCCTGGGATAAATTGCTTAAGAAATGCAAAACATTGTCATTAATAAATAACAACACAACTAACAAAAACAAAGGCTGGCATGCAAAGAAGCTAAGTTAATTAGGACCAACTAATTCCAGCTACATACAGTACATCAGGCATTTCATGTTATTTGGTAAAAACACAAGACTGTACAGAAAAGTTAAAAACTTTTTATATATACGATAAAAACATTCAGCAAAAGTGTAGGGCACTGATCTGTACTCCGTCATTTCACATCACAGCATAGGGGATGACTACAACTAAAGGAGGTAAATAAAACCAGTTCATAAGAATTTCTATTAAGTCCTCTTTTTTAAATTAGGGCTGTCGTCCTCCGGCACAGAAAATACGACTTGCTTCATAAAGTCCTTAAGGGCCTGAACAGTGTCAGAGAGGGGTGTCGACGTTGACCTCAGAGCGTCTGACTAACGCCACCAATGGACTGTCTCCAATACTGTCAGTCAGCTTATCAGCCAATCAATAGCAGCCTCGTACATTTCACCCAACCAGCAGTCACAGCGTCTCTTTCGTTCTCAACCTGCAGTCCTTAAGAGTCGGCTGACGAGCGGTCAGATCTCCATCAGAGTGATCTTGTAGGCGTCTGCGTAGCTCTCGATTTTGAGGACGAAGGTGTCTTCGTTGGAGTAATGCTCGACGATGTTATCGTCCATGTTCACCAGGATCCTAACACAAAGGACACTCAAGTTTAATTTCTTGTGCTCGACATAAGGCTCCAAGTAGGCCTAAAAAAACTGGAATCCGTTTCCTCACTCACCCTTTTTTACTTTTCTTGTACACGTTGGCTATCCTCTCTGGGGCCACGCCGTACTTCTCTGATATCTACGAGTGACAGATTAAAGCAGTTTGTAAACAGGTGCCCTGCAGCAAATAAATTGTGCCTTTGAGCTCACTCGGCGCCACTCACAGCATCCATTAGGCCTCTGAGCGTGGGAGACTTCAGCATCAGAGCGTCAAACACCTCGTCCGTCTCCTTTCTGACGTACAACAGCACTGCAGAGAGAGGAGAATAAGAATACACCTTTAACTGTCAGCTACAGTAGTCGTTTATATAATCTATACATCTGGAAATATAACGCCACAATGTGAATATTAGCCCCTGGTTTCACAGACTGTCAGGCTCTTTAAAGCGGCAATAGACACGTTTATTGCTTAACTTATCATAATGGAATAAATATTGATTGCACAATGTAATGGCTATAATACAACGACACCATCGGTGTTTAGACTGGTAACCCTATAAGCTTTGCTTTCACTGTGCAATTCTGTCTGCCACCAGGTACGACCTCCTGGGGAAAATGAAAGCTCAATTTACGGCCCAAAGGAAGTACGTCAGTCATTGCACAACCAAAACAGGGAGATAAAAGCACCTTTTCCCCGGTAGCCATCAGTAGCTATCCCCAGTTACCCCAGCAGGACAGCAGAGCAGAGTACATTGAATATCTTTGGAGCATTTCACTGCTGTCTGACGGCATCACCTCGGGCTGTATTCTTTTTATCCCGACTTAAAAAGAGTCAAAAGAAAGAACGACAGCCAGAAGAGGAGGCAACCATCTTGTACCTCTCTTGTGCATCTCCTCTTTGATCTGTTTGTGAGGTGACGGACACAGATCTTCATTTGACCGTCTGAACATCCTCTTCACCAGCACACTCCTGGTGAAAGCACACAAAACCAAAAGAGTCAGGTGACATAAACGTATTCATCGTGTTGCATCTTGTGGCGACACGCACATCCTCTGCGTGCGTTTGGTCGGTATCTGTACCTGCTTTGCATATTATATATTTGTATGATGTAAATGACAATGCTCCTAAAAAACGCACACTCACCCTTCTCTCTCGATCTCCTCTGTGTTGAAGGTGAACACCTGCAAATGAAGTATTATCTATTAAAGCTTTATGCACAAATAAAAAGCATAAAGTAGAATATTTAATTAAACTGATGAATTCTTCTCAGACTTTTTCCTAATGAATTAATTACTTACATTTACTTAAGCGCTCATTTTGCATAAACATGGCCACTGTGACTATATTCATGTGTTACATGATTAGATTGTTAATACTGATGCATCAATGTGTGAGCAGCATTTAATGGCTGGTTCAGGAGGAGCTAGTTTGAACCACTTTCTATACTATTACAGTTTTTATTTTACTCTTGCGGTTCCCAACCAAGACTCGACAGGATAATCACGCCATTGGTAATCAAGTCATCATATGTTTCACCTGCATTGCCTTTGATCCTCTGGGAGAGACTTTGATATAAAATCAGTGGATCTTACAAACCCAGACAAATGGTTTACCCTTCTCAATGGATCGGTTGTGCTTACAACAAGGCCAGAAAAAAGACCAAGAGAACCTTACATCTATAGTGCACGAAATATTGTACTGAAAATAAAATGTTTTACAGTTATGATGAAAAAAATTGGAAGCCTATTTTTATCTAAAAGAGAGGAAAAAAAATCTTAAAGGCATTCTAGTTTCCGCCCTTAAGTCCACGAGAACCTGAATTCTCCTTGTTGCTCATGTGATCAATGCAAAAACACAACCCGCACTAAAGAGTTCAGACATCCTAATGTAAAGGGAGGCATTACTTGGGGTGGTTTATTTGTTTATTATGTAGTTTGATGTCAGAAAGCACCATTAGGAGACAGGATCTAACCTCTCCTGTAGCAAAACAGTTTCTTGAACACAGCCACACAATTTTGAGTCCATGCTTCAAAGACATTGAGGAAAAGTGCATCCGTTAAGGTGATGATTTGGATCTGTTGCTCCTTTTGGATACAAAATCTAAACACACACTTTCACCACATGGACTGAATGAGGAGCTAGACCTGAGATGTTTCCTTATATGTTAAGTTCAACTGTTATTATTTCGTTTTCATACAATTTGTTGGAAATTAAATAGTTTTAGTTTGTTCTTTTGGCTGGATTGATGTATTTTAAACATAAGATGGTGCAATAATATGTAAAACAGGCACAGGTGGCAATGCAGGTGATATATACATGATGACTTGATTACTAATGATGTGATTATCCTATAGGAAGCCCTGTTACGTTTTGAAAGGTATAAAAAGTAGTTTTCAACCCAGCACTCTAGTTTGGCCCCATATGAAGACACATCGAAGTCTGTGTGCGGTCCCAATCCTTCAACCTTTTCTCTAATCTTTGCATCTCTGTTAAATATTGGAGAGTTTGACCTCTGCAGGCATCAAAATAATTCGATATATATATATATATATATATATATATATATAAGTTTCAAGGGGAAATATCATATATTTTTTGATTGGAAAATTAGATCTGTGAAATAAATGAAGTGGTTTAAAAAATGCATTATTCCCTCTGAAATGTAGTTAAGTGGAGGTGGTGGTAAAAGTTTTGATCTGGAGCTGAAATGCAGCCGTCAGGTCATTCAGAAACCAAGCTGTGGCTCCAATTTCACTTTTGAGCAGACAAACTCAACCGACCGGACACAAGTTCTTTCATTTGTGTGCATAGAGAAGGAGAGTGTTCGTCTACCTGTCCGGCCCTCTGCAGGTTCCCAAAGTGAACGTCGGGGATGAAGAGTACGGGCTGAGCCTCCAGGTCACTCATGGTCTTGAAATAAGTGGTGTCGGTCTTCTTGGGAGCGGTTATCACGCCTACACCTCCATCTTTACCTGAACACCAGTGAAGAAGAAGATTGAGAAAAGAGCCAATTGAACGCTCACACACAAATTAACAGTCCCAATTATTAATAAATATAAAAGCAGAAGACGGCAATGTATTCACCGTAATTTCATGTTATCAAGAGGGCGTTTCATACCTCGCCGCTCCTCATATTGCACCCTGTATCTATCATTTTGAACAAACAAAGTTTGCAACTCAAACCTTTTGACTTCTTGCGAAACAGTTTTCTCTCCTCGTCCCTTATTTTCCTCTCTGCTCCCTGAGAAGAAAAAAAACAGACAAACACATAGAACACATCAGTTTGAGAAAATGATACGAGCCTCCTTCAAACACACTCTGACATAATCAGCTATCACATCACATGGTGTGTGTGTGTGTGTGTGTGTGTGTGTGTGTGTATGTAGTCTACATGTGTCTCTGGAGGCTCACTGTGCAGGTGAGACCACTAGAGGGAGGACTGATGTCATGACTTAACATGCTCACTTCACCTATAGTGCAGTCAAACTGTCAAACAGTCTGTGACTCATTTTACAATATACACTGCAGCATTGTCCCTTATGGTAAAGAACAGCTGAACTTATATTAGAAACACCACATGTAATGCTGCATTGAGATGGCATCAGGTAGACGGTATATATCATGTAATGGTCGGGAGCAGCACGGTAACATCGGGTGATGCTGGCAGAAAGTACCGGCAACAATAAAAGTTAAAATATTTGAACTTTTAGCCTTCCTACGTAACATCCGGATGTTACGTAGCTCCTTCACACAAGAATAAAGTTGTTTAAGTTTGCTTTTAAATATTAAGAGAAAGCTGCCTTTTAGAGCTGCATGCATTACTAGAATGATAAAATAGTAAACACAAAATAATTTTATTTAAAATATTTTATTCCATCACGATAGCAACACCAATGCGTGATTACACTGTTCGTTTGTTTTTCAAGTGCAGTTCAGAAACACAATCTCTGTAAATACCCACTATTGTCATGTGGATCGAGACAAATCCAGACAACTGACAGGAACTGCAAACAGCAAGTTAATATTCAAATGTCAGGTTTGGAGCTTTTTACTCGCATAAAACTTGGAGGCTTACTTTGATCAGTTTGATCAGCTTTTCTGTTATACTGTATATAATGAATTTAGTCCTTCTTTCAATTGCTGCTTTTATTTGTCACATATGTTAGTACACTGATTATCTTTTAGTTTTTGACTGATGGTTTAATAAAACAAGCAATTTCAATACACCGCCTTGGTATACTTGTATATGTACTTGTATACACATAACTGACGAAGAGGAAGTGTTTCCTCACCTTGTCACAGAAGACCTTGATCTGTGAGTAGGCCCTGTGCAGCGGCTTGTTGCTGCGGTTGTTGTAGCTGTACGTGTCGATCTGGATCATCAGAGGAAGACCCTTCACCCCCTTCTGAGAGGAGAAGTCTGTACTCAGACAGTTGACTGTGATGAAGATCTGCCAGAGTTCACAAAGGAGGGAGAAGGAAGAGGGTTTTACATACTTCAATTTAAACTTCCTTCAGCTATTTTCTCTCGAGGAATGTTTTCATTATTTTTTAACACAATGTGACCCAAAAAAACATCCACAACAACTCAAAATATTGAGTGGAAATAGAAGCTGCTCCTTCCACGAAATGAAAAACCAGCATCTAAGTGGATATTTTTCTATTTATTTGTGGTTTTTATTTTTAAAACATGAGTTGTCACTCCCACTCAGAGACACATGCTGCATACTTTAAAGTCTGTATTTCAAATACATTGATGAACACTTTAGTTTTTGCCAAAGACGAATTTAAAATGTCGACAGTGATAGTCAAAGACACTGTGGCTGCTGGGAGTTTCAAAATGTATTTGTTTTTCTACACAAACAAAATTCCTTTCACCTCTGTTGCGTTTGCTTTGCACCAGAAGTTTCAGATATCTCAAAATCCCTGTAGATAGAAATCAAAACGACATGTAACCGCATGGTTACATAGCACACCGGATTAGTGAGAAGCTGTTACATAAAAGTATTGTATTTCTTTGTCTATTTCTGTTTTTATTTCTGTTGTTTGCTGTTTCCTATGTATTTAGACCAGGCCATTATATGCTCTGCAGTTCCTTTTTTTTTACAAAAAAGTACCCGGATGAAGGCCTTGTGACTGAAAGCTTGACTTTGTCATGAAATAATTAAATTAACACGGGTGTGCAAAATCTTCTTTCTCCATACTTGATTTAGATCCGTGCTCTTCTCATTTTCTGACACCTCTCAATTGTCTGCTATGACATAAAGGCAAGAATAACTAAATAAAATGCCCTTAAGCTTCTTCCTCAATATATACATGAAGCACAGAACTTCAACTTTATATGTTCAGCTCTGGTGTAGCTATCTAGACCACGTTAAAAGAAAAGCGTTCTAGCATCCATTAAGGTGTTCCTTCTTTATTTATTGTCCTGACAAACCGGATACTCTTATTTACTTTACAGGTATTAATAACTTGTTTCATAGTTTCCCTGAGACACAAAATAGGCACTCAACCGTGTTTTATTTGGTCTACATGTAAAATAAACTTGATTTTCCTTAATAGAAATTGCTGAAGACATTTTGGAACAACTCTGTCTTTTTTAGTCCTACAACAGTAGAGGCATGCACATTAAACTGCCTGGGCATTACACCTGTTTCCTGCACTGCAACACATATATATTCAGGCTCAATGAGTCACACAGATTAAGAGACAGAGAGGGATAGAAGTAGAGCGAGAAAGAGTCAATATTGGCTCAGAGAAGTGTGCTTGGATTTCCACCATAGCAACGTCTTTGTCTGCAGGCTGCTATTACAATGAAAGAGCCACACACACACACACACACACACACACTCACACATAGTCGATCACATTCACACAGAAACACACAGAAATGAGGGCAAAACAAACAACAGAGGGTGGGGACCGAGATTGGTGTGTATTGGCCCTTGGGGGCGTCTGGAGTTAAACAGTGACGGAGCTCCATTTAAGGAGCGGCGACAAAGGAGTGAGCCTCACAAAGACAAAGAAGACAAACAGAGCAAAAGTACACAACACTGCCCATCAGCGTTATGGCAGAGAGCAGAAAACACACCAATAGGCGCAGAGGAACCTCTTCAGGCTTTTAATTCTTGTGTTAAAACAAAATGAGGATGATTTAATTCACCGTTTTTTTAAGTGAGCTCCCGAGTGTGTGTGTGATGTCTACAGGTGAGGCGCTTGCATCACAGCAATTTGTCAAGCGAGTGCATTTGTTTGCCAACAACTGAATCAGCACAAAAAAAACCTGTCCCGCTGCTTTTTTCTTTTACATCTACAGCACGCCTCCAGCTAGTGTAAATATAGAAGACCGGTTTCTGCTAAAATTACAGAGACATTGACGTCCTGCAGAAGAAAGAAAAGGAACTGTACGATTTTTTTATACCTTGGCCTCTTCGTTCACGTCCCAGGTGAAGGAGATGGCGTTGTAGGCGATTTCTTCGATGTTGCCGATTGTGTTGAAGCTCTCCTTGTAATCAGCTGTGAGGACAAACAGAGGTTCTGCAGTCAAAACAACCTTTCAAATATAACTTCTTCTCATATTGAGTCAACTATGATCAAATTTAACTTTGCTGATAGCTGCTGTTTAGAAAACGTAACCAAACATCATATCTCCCCTCTGAAAGAAACCGCCACACACAGCATTAATTGGTCAATAAATGACAAAAGTAGGAAGCCATTGTTTTTTAAGATAAGCAATCAAATGGCACGCTTCAATTTTATAAGATAAAACCTTATCTGCTTGCGCAAACAAACTCTCAAATGCTTCAAAGGCAGCGGTGGGAAACACAGGAGGCTATCTGGCTGTGAGAGCCATATTAAAAGCCAGTCAGGTGAGCACATCGGCTGGCTATTGTTGACCTGCGTGACCACATACTAGTCATACTTTAAATGTGAGGCGGTGAGTACACTGGTATGCTGGGGAAAAGGCTCATATGAAAATGTAACTTTGTATATGAGACCTTTTTCACGTAAAGAGTTAAGGACAAACAGGATTGGACCTGGTAGGAAAGTGGGCGGGCACATGGGATTGGGTTTAAGATACGATATAATCTATCTAGTATGGTCCGGGCTGAAGTTCTTTAGAGAAGCAGCTCATCCTGCCACATTTCTGCTGGTCACATCTCAAAGCATCTCCCCCCCTCTGCTTCAGTGACCTCCGACCTCCTCCATTATCATAATAACCGCTGTTACGGCGACACTCCGGTCATTTACTAGCAGTTGCACAAAGCAGCAGGGCAAGCAGCAGCACGCCTATCTGCCAACATGCCCCGTTAAATAACCTCATTGAAATGATCCATTCTGTGACGCGGCCCAGGGGCATGATGACCCCCCCCCCCCACACACACACACACACACACACCTCCACCGCTATTCAAATCAGCTCAGTGGACAGCTTCAGGTTACAGGCTGCCTCCAGTGGAGCAGGGTGGAGCCATTTGATCTACTGAGCTGTTTGAGATTCCCCACTTTGATGCACAATCATGCACTAAAAAATAGTACATAATATTAATTAGAGCTGAGATGACTAGTTAGTTGATCAATTCGCAATCTGCAAAAGAAAAGTTATTGGCAGTTTTGATAGTCGATTTAAATTTCCCCCGCTGTGGGACTAATAAAGGATTATCTTATTTAAAAGAAAAAGGCTTCTTAAATGTGGATATTTGCTGGTTTCAATGTGAATATGTCAGAGATAAATCAATGATGAAAATAATCACACGTTTTATTTAAAGTGTTTTCAGTGGCTTCTCAGCATCCTCGTTTGCAATCCGTTTTGAGGAACTTTGTACATGTTGAAAGCGTGTGTGTACATTTAAATAAGCAGATCGGTATCTGTGTGTATGCAAGCAGGTGTCAGTGTGACGGAGAAGTACTTCGGCAACCGTGGCTCAAGCTTTAAATGCACATTTTTCTATTTCTAGCTCATACACACAAAGAAATACAGACAAATGCCAAACAGGACGCCGAAAGGAATCATGCTGAAAAAGATAAAACGTTTCCTCTTAACAGGATCTACTGGCAACTTAAAAAAAACATTTCATCTTTAAATCATGACACCACGATGCCTTTTAGCAGCAAAACCACTGAAAGTCAACTGCATTTCTTGGAAAATCTTAAGTAGTTTCATTTTAAAATGTGGTATATACATATTATGCATTTTTTTAGACCAGCGGTTCCACAAAATCTTGTCTTTTTCTTATTCCCTACAACGATAATCATCTCACAACTGCTGAAATCTATCCTGCCGCGCCCATGTTGGTAACTGGTAGATACGTGTGAATTGTAGGCTGATTGGGATTTGTCTTGGTTCACGTAAACACAGGATTTAAGATGAAGATCTAAATTGGGCAAGAATAACATTCAACAGACCAAAACCGGCCGAAGGTAACACAGCGGCTAGCATTCCTCTCCCTGTCCCAACAAGCTGTGTATAGGTGTGTGTCTCCCATCCACCCCACACATACCTCTCAATCTCTGCCTGGTTAGCAGGCCCACGCTTGTCAAACACAAACCACCTACAAGCTTCTCACACACACACTCATTCAACAAGGCGTAAAAACGCTCGGTTCAAATTCAAATCCATCAACTGAAAAAATGCCTGCAGCAGACAAAAGGTCAAAAGTTGTCAGATACAATATGAGGCTTTAGATCGACAGCGTACACTTGTGGGAAACGCACGAAGTTTAGATTATCAAGTTTTTTCTCAAATCAGTGTTTTGCTCAATCTCTCAGGCAATGTCGAGGAGATTAGCAGGATTTATGTTGTGTGTCTCAGCAACACCTAGACATTAAGGGATTCAGGTGTGTGTATGTGTGTGTCCTGTCTGATGGAGGGTGATGGTGGGCAGCTGAACAGCCTCAGGCAGACAGCTGGGTGGGGGCTTGTTTGCTCTCAGTTCTGTCATAACTTGTTTATGAGCTAAGTGCATTCCAGCTTTTGCAATAACATAAATCTGTCACTGTCTTTCGGTTTGTGTGTTTTGATTCATTCAAGAATTTGCTGTTGTTCACATATCGGGAAAGTCTTGGAAGAAGGAGGAAGCAGCAAGTCTTACCGATGTCTAAGACTCTCTGCTTGGCTGTGTGCTGCCGGGAGTGCCAGTACTTCCAGTACTTCAGCTGCTCGTCTCGGTTCTTGTCTTCACTGAACACCACCATGATCACACTCTGAGAGGGGGGAAACAGTTTTTAGATGATTCGACTGAAACGTCACGTGACCTCACGTGTTTATATTTAAGTATCTTATCCTGTCACTTAAATTGGTGTCGTATTTGAGTCAAACTGAGGAAAGTAAGTCTAATATTCACTCTCTTGTCGCTCTGTTTTGAGGGATAACCTGACTCTTTAGCTGCAAAATGCTCCACAATGTTCACCAGAAAGTGTTTTGTCTGTCTGCTGCGTGGTGCTGAGCAGGTAGGTCATATGAAAGATGCTGAAACGCTCTGTAGAGCTTAGTCGCCTCTCACATTAGAAATAATTATTTAACCCGGTGAAAAACAAGAGCATCTTTTGACATCTTGGTCATAGGTAGACTTGAATTACACAACTGTGCTTGGTGTTTTGCGTGGGTAATATTTATCAAAATAAGAATAAGATGGACAACTTTATAGAAGGACATTTTTAAAAACGGCCTCACCCGAACTTTGCTGATGGGGTGACGGAGGCGTTTGTTGGCACTCAGCTCGTTCAGCGTCACAGCGTAGAACTGGCCTTTGTTCAGGTAGGTCATCGGTCCCTCGCCCTGCTTCTGACGCAGCGAGCGAGTGGCGTCCAGCGTGTACTGGAAGCTGTCACTACACACACACATGTAGAAAATAATATGTGATAAGACATAACAATGTGGGATTGAGGTAAAACACCAAAAACGTTCATGTTTGGAGTTCAATATTTGAATATTCAGACTGTAACACATTTCTAGATAATTTAGCCACGATTAGACTACGTGGTTGTATTCTGAGTGACTTACACTCGCTCCTGGTGAAATAAGTAGTCGTCTGTAGCCAGAGAGGAAGGTGTGTGGTACTTCTGTTGAGAACGCTTGAAACATAAAGAAAGAGGAAATTATTTGGGCAGAATGACAAGTTAATTTCGGCTGAGAGGGAACTGGTTAAACAATGCTGTAAATGAGAAAAAAAGAAATCTGAATTTCAGGCAAACAGGGAACAACTTCAGCAACCACTTGTAGCTTTTTGTTCAGTTAATGAACCTTTGGACTCTCAGTGAATCATATTTAAACATCCATCTTTCTTCATGTACCATTACACAACAACTCCGGCTTTGCATGTTCTCTCTAAGATCTTCAGCATGTGACACTCTGTCTTCTACTGCTGTAATGTTTTTTCTGTTTCTTGTGCCTTGCTACATTTCCCATCGTGTCTTTCACCAACGCCCAGCGTGTACCTGGTCATTCTTTCAGCTGTGGTTTGTGGATTTAACACTAAACGTGAGAACTGAGTCTTTTTCTAGTACCTAGTAAACTAGCATAGTAAAGTTCAGTAAATGATCTTGTTTCCGGGGTCTCTACAGAGGCTAAAAAAATGTACTGATGCTAAAATATCTACTTGTGCTCTCACATTTGAGGTTTTCTACAGTTTGACTGTCATCTGCAGGAATGAAAGAAAATACACCATCAACAAATTACACCTAGAAATAACATTTCCAACAGTTATACTGTGCTGGAAGGCAGTTGTACCCAACCCTTTTGGCTTGTGTACTTGAGACCCTGTGGCGTGGGTTAAATATGTCTACGAGTCATGCAAATAGTGAGTACAATCATTTTTAACCGGTTCGGTCTCAAGAATCAAGAAAAGAGTTGTAATTAGAGAAAAGTCTGAAACATTATCTCGTGACACCACCAGGTTAGGAACCATTCTGAGGTGATTTTTCCTTTCCTGTAAAAACAGTATCTGTTCAGACCACGACGTCTTCTCTCACCTTGTCCCTCTCCTCTTCATACGGGCTGTCCGGCGGACTCTGCTGGTCTTCTTTCACATACGAGCTGTGACTGACGGTGGTCACCTCATACGGACTCTGTTCGTAGATCACCCTCGACGACTCCTCTCCCTCCACCGAGTAGTGGAGCCCCGCTCCCGTCATGAAGACGGGCGCGTACGCCTCGGCCTTCACCGCCGCCACAGCCGCCGACCCTCCGTCCCCTGACACCGCCTCGGTCAAGCTGCTGAATCGCTCCCGTTTGTTCTCCTGGTGCTCCGTGTTCAGCGACAGGTTGACGGGAACAGATTTGAGGACCTGAACTCGGTTTTCCAACGTCTCCACCTCGCTTTGGCTGTCGCCGTTGGGCCTGTACAAAAACATTGGATGAAGTAGCATTTAGGATGTATTTCTGCACGTTTCAAACTTCACTGAATGGCTGTACAGTATTTTGAATTTCAGATGAATTTTATGCCTTGTTTGGCAATGAAAACCGCTGAGCACAGCAATGTGAACAACTGAGTAGTCAAAAATAATGAGTTTTGTTTATTTATAAGAAACCTCCTCAGGGCAGCTTTAATTATCTTAAGATTGGCATGTCTGAAAATCGTAACCTGTTTTACAGCAGCTCTTATTTAAAGCTTCACACCAAAATGTATATTAGTGCAACAGGTACAATTAATGTAACAATGCATCCTCACCCTTCTATTCAGAAAACAGACCTGGATTTCTCCCATTTCAATGTTTCTCTAATTATGAATATACTATCTTTTTTGTGGAGACACATTATGTCATGAAATATTTTGTAGTGTCTTTTTTTTCAGCAGGAATCAGGAGGTTTTAGCGTAGCCTGAGCCTCTTACATTCAGTATCAGAGCTACTTCTAGTATGCTGCTTTATATGTAACCTTATTAACCACGGCTGCAACATGTAAAATACTACAACCACTGCGCTCCAGGAATTAATTCCACACATCACTGGGAAATGTCTGCTAGCAACTACATGTTTAGCATTTTTTGTATTACTGTCTGTACATGTGCAACCTCGAGCAAGGGACTGAACGACCCAAAGTCACTGACCTCTTCTGCTGCTCCTCTGTAATTTCAGCGACTTTGGGAACTGGCAGAAGCCTCTTTTCTTTAGGCACCTGGAAGGAAAAAAAAGGAGGATGTGTAATCAGATGGATGAGACTTGTGTTTCCGTTATTTGTCATGTTTGATGAAACGGTAGAAAGATTGCTCTTGTCTGTTTACTTCAAACCTCTCCGCAATGTGTTGTTATTATCAGTGCTTTTGGAACTGTGGTTTATTAAAGTGCTGGGAATTCATTTGCTGGACTCCCACTGACCAAATATCATGCTGGGAGCATATTAACTCGTCTTTTAAACAGTCAGTGTAATATGGAAATGTCTACAAGTCAAAATTTATATGCTGTTAAATGATAAATTTATATAATATCAAACTTTTTTCTGTGATTTTCATTTATCCTGTTGCTTTTTCCCTGAAGGATGAACCATATAATCAGCTATAATAATTATAGTTGTAAAAACAGATGCATCCAGACTTTCTTATTCAAGTAAATCTGAGCTTCTTTAAAGTAAAAAATGAAGCCGTGGAAATGTTGCTTCATTGAATACCCTCTTCCCTTAGACTGACCACCACTCCAACACCCAAAAGATGTTCAGTTTGTTATCATACAAGACAAAGAAAAGCATCAAATCCTCCATCCAGACCTTGTAGTAGTCGTAGAGCAGGCCCAGGGCGTTGGCGCTGTCCTCGTCCCCGTTGATGCTCATCATGGCCTTGGTGGCGGCCGTCAGCGGGTTCTCCAGGTACGACTTCCATGCCTCGTCCTCGCTGGTGTAGGACCGCCGCACTGCAGGGTAGGAGCTCTCGTTGGGGACCACCACCACCAGACGCTTACTGGGAGACATGTGTCAACATTTGAATTCAATTTTAGCTTCACATAGTTTAGCTTCACATTTTAGCTTCACATAGTTATGCCAACGTGTGCTTTCCTTCCTCTGCTTTCTAATTTTTTTAAAAAAGGTCATCTGTCATTATTCTGGACATTTTCTAAATCAAATAAGTCAGTTTTAAAAAATGTATAGATTAACTGATAATGAAAAGTTCACACTACAGCCCTTTTCATGCCTGTCTTGTGTGTTTACGTGGGCTTGTCTCTCCACTCTGAAGGCCCACTTAAGTCGGGATCACAGACCAGTTAAACACACAGTGTTGTCACAACACCTCTGAACTTTTGAGGGCTCTGAATGTGTCAACTTGCACTTGTTGTACTATGAACGGTATCAGTATGTCACACCTTCTGGAAGAGTCTTGGGAGTAGTCATTCATAAGCCTCATACTCGCTCTGTTTCTCGTCATTCATCATTCAGTTTGCTTGAATCAAGCATTGTTTACAGGAAATATTAATCAGGGAATATTCTTAGCTGGGAAATGTACTTATTGGAAGCTCATTTGCAACATGAAATAACTCATTTGTATAATTACTGTTATGATTTATCCAATTAAAATGAACTCCTGTCTGCTGAATCTACCTGCCAAATAAAACAAACACATTTGTCCCGCCTCTAATCTGTGTTGTCACACTGATGCTAACCTTTATGGAAAAAGGTGTAATGGTGGACAAAAGGCAGGTAGAGGTTTTTTATTTATATTGGCCAACAAATGCTGAACAACTTATCCATGGCAAGCAAGGTCTGCAGGTAGAGAGCTGATGCAGGTATTAAAAAAGGTCAAAGACGTCTACAGAAGGGGATGTTTATGATTCGAACAACTCTACTCAGGTGGATCTGACTAAATATTACCACTGCGGATCATAATAGTGGCTGATGCAGGATGCATGAAACAGCATCACTGCAGTTACACTAAGATACATTTAGTTGTTTTAAACACACCATAATAATAACAACAATTACAGATCACATGTTTAGAACAAGTGCCTATTTCAGTGACAATCTAGTAATATTTATAAATGTAGATTATTATTATTAATACAGTTATTACCATTTATAACTGTAAAGAAAATTAGAGCTATATTATTAAGGGGAAATAAAACTATATCAGAACCTCTGTAACATTTGGAGACTTCTGGTGCTCGTAGAAACAGCTTCAGCACAAAAGTTCTACTTCTTTAATATAAATAAAGTTTCTGGTGCTACAAAACAACACAGTAGGCCCAAACTGTCCTCCCGCAGACTCATCATCGCGCACTATAGACATTAAAATGTGACAAATGTAATGCGATGCAAAAGTAGCGCTAACACTCGAATTTTCAGTAAGAGACACCCAAGTGTTTAGAAAATGCAGTCTTTGCACTTTGAGGTGTTTTTTTTGGTCTATCAGTCAAAAATGGCGAATTCAGCTCTAATGAAATCCACAGCGCCAAGTGTATTTATTTCCTCCAAAGAAAATAGCTTAATATTTGACATAACTATCCAAAAGTAATACAACCAGAAAGTGACATTCTTTTTTTCATCCTGAGAAACAGCCTAAGTCCAAATTTAAAAAATAGGGTTTTCTTTAATTAGCGGGTAAAAAGAAAACTTTTCTCTTCAAGTTGAAATGATCTGAGTTCCTCACCGCCGGCTCGATCACTTACTTGTCTGTCTCCTGTGACATATTTCGCTTCCTCTACGATCCTTCCTTGTGAAACTGGACTTTCAAGTCGGAGCAGGTAATAGAATGAGTGAGTTGCCAGAAGTTGGGCTACAGGTAAGTCGACTTTTCTCGCCCCGCTTCTTTTCTCTCTCTCTCTCTCTCTCTCTCTCTCTCTCTCTGTCTCTCTCTCTCTCTCTCTCTCTCCTCCGCTCCACCTGGCAGGTAAAGCCGCTTTTGTCCCCAAGCAGCCAATCGCTCTGCTTGTCTCATGTTCAATTTGCAGATTATGACAAATGTCCACACATCCTGCCATGCATTATAATATTTGCCCCGGCTTGCTTTAATGGCAGCGGGGTCAACTTTAGCTCGAATTCTTTTCACCGCAAAAAAAAGAACTGAAGGTGAGGGCGAGTCTGACGCTGATTGGCTGCTGCAGATTGAAGTGGGCTGCGATTGGCCGGTGGGTCAGAGAGGCGGGCAGAGGCCCATGCACCTCACCTGCAAGCACACAAAAAGACGCTATTGAAGGCACCATAAAGTGAGAGAGCAGGGAAACTCAGACAACCACTAAGGATTAACCTTTTAACCTAACTTTTCTGGCAGTAATTTATTCCAGAAAATAGCGTAAAAACAATTAGGTGAAACGTTGTTGGCTGTATAGCAGAATAATAGTGTCATAGTTGGCATCTGACTGTGGCTCACACATCCACAGGTTTTCTTTTAGTCCCACAGTCCCTGATTTGACCTTTCATAATGACTTGTCTGTGTCTCAGGTAACCCCAGAGCAGATAGAAGGCAGGGAGGAGCCCTATCATTAACTGAGACAATGCTATTGTCCCTTAATGAAGCCATTGTATGAGGGGATCCTATATTTGGGATTAACCTGCCAGAGAAAACAATGTGTGTGTGTGCGTGTGTGTGTGAGGGGGGGGGGGGTATTAATCCCAACGGAAATTGTATTGTTACAGCAGTTAAGTCAAACATTAATCACAAATCGCACAAAATAAGGACACTTTAATGGTAGATAAGTAATGAAATTATGAAAACATTGTAAATAAAACAAAAGATAATATAAAATATGAACTAGAAATGGAACCTAGACTAAAAACTGGATGATTTATAATTCTAAATATGGAGTGTTTAGTAAAGTTACAAAAGTCTGGTAGACAATGTATGATGTCTCATATTTGTCAGGATAGTATTGATTATGGATGTGATCAATGTTTGTTCATCTTCATATCAATTAAATACAGAGGCATTTTCAGTGGTGGAAAGTAATAAGTACATTTAAGTATGAAGTATCGTGCTTAGTATATATTTGAGGTATTTTACTTGAGTATTTCATTTTTGTGCTGCTTTCTACTTCACAACATTTTGGAGGCAAATATTGTACTTTTTAATTCTACTACGTTTGTTTTACAACAGCAGTTAGTTTTCAGATTAAGATTTTACAGTAATAGGTTTTAGAGATTCAGATTTTACTGTACTTTTACCTAAGTAGGAGTTTGAATGCAAGTCTATTACTTGTGATGGAGTATTTTTTATGGTAGTATTGGTACTTGTAAAGAAGCCAAGTACTCCTCTGCCTCTGCTCTGTTCAGCTACATTTCAGAGGGAAACAATTAACTTTTGGGTCCACAACATTTACAGCTGTATAAGATCTCAGAACTTCTTCCACATAATACAGAAAAGATAAGCTCTCTCATATATATTTTCAGAAACGGTTGGGATGCAATTTGCAAACTGCTGTGAGTTCCTATGAAGGTGTTTGCATGAAAAAAACAGCCTTTTGCTTATGAATGCCTTCAGGCACTCTCACATGGAAATCTAAAAATTGTTGTTCAGATTCAGTTAAACCGTCAGTGGAGTTGCATGTGTGTGTTTGCATGTGTGTGAAGGGCGCGCATGTGTTTGCGTGCGCTGTGGATGGTCACTGCTGTCCTCCCTTGTCTAATTTGTTTTACAGAGCACCTGGGCCTCTGCTGAGCTCTGTATGTGTTTGAATGGAACTGCTAGATAAATACAGGCTGAGTCCTTTTCTTCAAACAACACACTGTAGACGGAGATAAACAACAGAATGACAACAGAGTAAGAGAGACAAAAAAACATTTAAAGTAAAGGAGAAATATGACGAACAGCTGATGTATCCCACACATATTTCTATCTAACTTTATCAACACTTCTACATCTGTGGATGACTGAATGGGCTCCCGAGCACAGGCCCTGTGGGCACCTGGGTCTGTGCCCAGAGCCTCTGTTTGAAATGAATGTAAACATCTCTTGTTGGAAAGTCAATCAAACGAGTACACAAAGATGCAACACGACTACATACTATGCAAAACCGCCACAAATACACAAAAAACAAGTACAAAGAGACAAAAAACTGCCACGAAGAGACAGAACCACTACATGATATATTTTATATAAGTCTTGTTTTGTTTACTTTCTGCTACAGGTGTTTTGTTTCTATTCTGTCTCTAAATCTTCTGTTTTGTTACTTAAAGCCTAATTTGAAACTTGGCGTTCTGCTGTCATAAAATGACTAGACAAAAAATTTCCACAAAGAGACACAGAATGACTGGAAAGCTTCAAAAATTACAACAAAGAGACACAGAACAACTACAAATAGACAGACATTTCCACAAAGAGACAGAAATGTCCACAAAGAGACACAGAACAACTACAAAGAGACAAAAAATACCACAAAGAGACACAGAACGACTACAAAGAAGCGCAACCTACTCTAAATAGACTGACAATGACTATAAACAGTGGCAGAACAACTACAAAATAGATGCAAAACAATTACAAAGAAAAAGACTATGTAAAACTATCACGAAGCGATCAAAACTACCTTGCATGAAGAGACACAAAATACCTACAAAGAAATGTAAAACTACCACAAAGAGACACAAAACAACTGCAAACAACGTGGCTGTGGGGTGGGGGCTTTAAATGCCTCTGCCCAGTTGTCTCAAAATCTGTTCATATATGAATCATTAACTCTACTCAGAAATCTAACTGAGAAGTAGTGAGAGAAGTTTTGCTTGACTTAATCAAGATAATGTTTATGTATTGTTTTTTTCCTTATCTCTACCTTTCCCTACAGGACTCCTCCCAGCTGGAATGTTTGGCCATGTATGACAGCTAGAATAGTGTGAAGGCTACTGTACAAGCTGCCACAAGCAGGCACGAGCAAGACAGGAAAGTCATGGGCCAAGAGCCACAGAATACCTTCCTCTGTGTGTGTGTGTGTGTGTGTGTGTGTGTGTGTGCGTGTGTGTGTGCGTGTGTGTCCCACTCTGTGAGAGACGTGAAAGGTGTATCCTACATACCTGGAGTTTTTTCGCAGGGAGAAGCAGCTTGTCTGGACTTGGCCAGGATTAGGTGTCAGAGTCTACCTGTTTGAGCACAGAAACTCACAGCTGAGACAGACGGAGAGTTGTGTGTGTGTGTGTGTGTGTGGGGGGGGGGGGGGGGATGTGTCGTCCTTGGACAGCAGTGAGGAAAACATGGAGGGATGGAGGAAGGTGAGATGACTTAGAATAGTCTCATAAATCATAAATGCCGTGACATATGTGTTTAAACTGACAATTGATCCAATGCTGTTGAGTCCACTCACTAACGGCCACAGTTGCTTCAGAGCTGCTGCTGTTTGTCACCACCTTCACAATCAGTGTCTGTCTGACCGGCTTATGTCTGCCCGACCCCGGACTTCGCCTCTCCTTCAGTTGCACTCTGTGTGTAGAAGTGGATGTGTTTGTGTCAAGGTAAGAAATTAACCTTTTTTCCCCCTGAAAACATGGTTTGCCAACTTGATGTGATGTCTCGGGGCACCTGAGGGTCAGTTTTAATAAACCAGTGAACAGATACATTCAACTCAATTTGTACCATTAAGTTTGGTTTGAACTTTTTTCCCCCTCAGAGGTAGATCGATGTGTGATATTGGTGGTTTAATATTTAATTTGATCTCATTTTTCTTTGCCACAAACACTGCTGTTAAATGCTTTAACAAACCCTGTGTGTGCTTCAGACTGCATGTCATTTAAATCACGTGGTACGAGGCCTCTAAAGGCTGCAGTGAAAGTTGCCAGCGTGTGGATGTGTTGTGACTGGGTCACGGCTTGTGTACAGCCCGACTGGTCTGGCAACATTGCGACTTGTCACGGTGGTGCGGCGGCGGCGGTAGCAGCAATGGACTGTGACAAAACATGTTGGTTTGGAAAAAAAGGGAAAGCATGAAGGGGGAGGGCGAGCAGGGAGAGGAAGTGGCCAATGGGGAAGAGGAAATCCAATTTCCTCTTCCCTCAACAGCCTCAAGAGAAACAAGGAGGTCACACTGACTCCCTGACGGCCCCTGTTTCTCCCTCTCTGAGTGAAGGTCGGTTGCCAGACCATGTTCTCTACCCTGAAATTCATCTTTAAAAACTCTTTCCTGACCCTGGCTTATCCTCTTGAAAACTATAGCTGACCCTGGTTATGTATGCAGTTGTGCAGTGAGAAACATAAATCAGAGACTGTAAGAGATCATTTACAACAAAAGAAATCCTTCAAAAACAACTTGGCTGAGCCGAAAGTGAACCTGAAAACCCTTGTGGCGGGAAGAAAAGACCCAAATG